CCGCGGGAAAATATCTCATTTCTGAGAAAAAAATACAAAAACTGCAATGTAAGAGTATACTAATATGTAAAACCTAAGAATTTGTTGGTTTTTGGTCATCTGAACGCGGGCGAAGCCGCGGGCAATGCTAGTATTAAACAAAGAAATAAGCTAATATTAAAATAAGACATAGCAATGTCTTTTTCAAGGGGAAGAGAAGTAATGTTTAAAAATACAAATGAATATTGTAGTGTATTTTCTGAGATACCTCTAAAAATTTTCCTTATTGATTAAAGAAAGTGAACGATCTGTATTGCCAGGACTAGAATAATAGCATAAACAGCAAATCACGCTACTATTTTTGTCTTTGACATATTTCTGGCGGACTCTATCTATATAATTCTTTAGTCCAATATCCATACTAATATTATAAATGTGAAAGTTCGTTTGTTTGTTCTTCTTTCACGTCGCAACGGAGTGACGAGTTGGCGTGTTTTTTTGTGTGGGAATAGTTGGAGGGCTGGAGAGTGACATAGGCTTATGGCATACTTTTTACCGCGAGAGATTATCTCATTCCCACGGGAAAAGACGTTATAATACAACCCACACGACTCATCATACCTATGTACGAGTATGTATACTTAGTAATATAAAGAGACAGAGTTTGTTTGTTTGTCTCTCAGGAAAAATCTCAGGAACTACTAATCTGATTTGAAAAATTCTTTTTGCATTAGATAGCCCGTTTATTTAGGAAGGCTACTACTACACAAGGGAGCGGAGCAGTAACCATGAATGTCAACAAATCGGGCATACATTACTGTAAAACTGATGTTTATATCGGAAGTTTGAACGCGGGCGAATAATAATATCTAAGTAGTCTATCTATTACATATTAACCGTTAAATGGTACCAAGGAACGAACCAAAGCAAAGCGAGGTTGAGCCGCTAGTATTATAAGAAATTACAAAAAGCATAACAAACTCCACCAACACAAATAATACCTACTAATTATATACCGACCACAAAATATTCATTTCTTTAGAATGATGTATGACTCCACTTAAGAAATCGATTTTTTTCACGGTATTTTGTGCCGCGCCCCTCAGTTACTCGCGGGGGGTCTTATAAAGTACCTACTGTCGGCAGAAAAAATTGGATTTATCACTTTAAAATGATTTTCTTTTTTTGTTTATCTACGAGGTTTTAATCAATTTCCAAAAAAGAGGTATTATGCTGATCTATATGTATTTTTTTTCTATATAGTTGATTGCTTTATATGTGACGAGACGAGAATCAAAATGAGGACCTATTAAAAACAATAAAAAAATAGCTTAATATTTCATTCCGTATATCACAACTCTCTGTGTGTAAAAGGAATGCAGCTAAATTCATCAAGTCGCTTTCAGCTAACTTCATCATGTCGCTTTTTGGCTGTCGTATCGTAAAAAAATTACTGTCATAATTTTTTCCAAACGTGTCAAAAGAAGTATAATTTCAAAAATAAAGCCAGTCAATATCCGCTATAAATGATTAAACAAAATTTATATATATTTTTTAATTTCTTTGCTGTCTGTACTTGCTTAAGTCAACAGGGATATTATTTTTTATTATAGGATTTTTAATAGCACGATCAATATTTGTTTATGTACTGGAAAAATAGGAGAGATATGAGAAAGTGTTTTTTTTAACTTATTTTGAGGCAGTGGATTTGAATTCCGGATAAGTCAAATTTTAATGCTATATCTTCAAAACAGGCTGTGACGTATGTACATACAGACATACCAGAAATTTTATAAGGATATCATTTTTTCATTAAAGATTTTTTTATCGAACTACTACAATTATAAATGCAAAATGTTTGTATATTTATATGTCGTTACTTCACGCTGTAACGGCTGAACTGATTTATATGAAATTCAGTACACAGATAGAGAGATATGAGAAAACATCGTGAGGAAACCTGCATGTCTGAGAGAACCTAGCAAGTTGTCTGCAGACATGCTCAGTTTGCCCGCACTTGGCCAGCGTGGTGGACTATGGCCTGATCCTCCTCGTATTGAAGGGTGGTCCAACCCCAGCATTTTGACTTTAAGATGAAAAATGAATTAAAACATGCAAAACCGTATCAAAAGCTAGTTTAAAATGTCAATATAAAAATCTCAAAGCAACCAATTACGACATATTTTACCCGCCATACCACGCGTCATATGGGGTCGGACCCCTCGTAACTACCCCCTATAAGAAATCAATCAGTCATGATTTTAGGTCAAATGATTTGTAATAACCGACTTTAAAGAAAGTAAGTGCTTTCTTAGATTTACCGAATACTTAACATTTTAAATAAAACTATGTTTTCGAACTTTTTCGCGGTTTTATTTTGATTTTTTGTTTCCGACGTTTCGTATGCTTTACAGCAGTCATAGTCACAGGAGAGACTCGGTCTAACATACGAAAAGATAGTTTCTTTTAAAGAAAATTTTTTTTACGGTTTTTAAATTTTTGAGTGTATGTCTGTCAGCAGTTTTTCTAAGAATTGAGGCATTTTTTTTTTTGGAAGCGGTTTAGTCGTGACAACGTAACAGACAGTCGACAGACAGTATTTATCATATTAATTTAGGTAAAAGAATTTGTTTTGAGTTTAAATACATAATATCTAGTACAATGTCAGGATTAATAACATAATCTTTTTGATGACACATTAAACTCAATTTGTAGTGACCCTACATGCTGTGCCAGCGGTGGCGGGTTCGAGTCCCGCTGGGGCATTCATTTGTGTGATAAGCACGAATGTTTGTACTCCAGTCATGATTGTTTATATTTATAATATGTATGTATTTAAAGTTATATATGTGTAGTGTATCAACTATCTGGTATCCATAACACAAGCCTCGTAGCTTACCATGGTACTAGATGATGCTGTGTGTTATATGCTCCAACATATTTATTTTTTATTATTCTAATCAATACGACCTTTTTGTATTTTTTATTTTAATTTCTAAAGTGAAAAAAACGGGTATTTTATTCAAAATAAAAAAAACTATTTAGAATCGTAAAATAATTCTGTTCGAACCACCCTTTAAATCGCCCTTGTATAAGGGTGTTTCGACAAAGTGGATTATTTATATAGATTTAAATATTATATTGGTAGGGTGATGTTTTTTTACTAATCGAGAGGTCAAGATTCGATTTTTGTATATAACCAATGTCCTTATGGGCCCTCGCTTTTTAACCGACAAAAAAAAGGAAGAGGTTCTCAATTCGTCATGTATATTTTTTTAACCACGCATAACTTTTGACAGTTTAGTCCGATTTCGATCATTCTTTTTGTATTGGATAGGGTATACCTTAAAGCTGGTACCATTTAAATTTAAAAAAAAATCCACCTCAAGTGTAGAAAATAGGGTGGATAGGTTTTAAACCTACTGATTTTTTAAAAATACTTTCTACTTAATTTGCTATTATTGTCTGCACTAAAAATGGAAAAATAAAATCTTAAAAAAATAGAATTAAAACCTACTTAATAAAAAAGACACTAAAATGTAAAAATTAACTGATTAAGAGTTTCATAGTTCGAGTCATAGTTTTTTTTTTTTATATATACTGTGGAAATTCTCACAAGGGATGATTTTCCAAACGTTAACTTTGTACTTCGTGGTAACTTTGAAGAAAAGTCAAAATATATAATTTAAAAAGCGAATCTCTCTCTCTCTCTCTGAATAAGGACGCCAAAGATGGGTATGTATATAATTGAAAAATCACGGTCGTAAGTACAGGCCTCATAACGAATTAAAACCGGTCAAGTGCGAATCGGACTCGCGCACGAAGGGTTCCGTACCATTATCTATAACAACGCCAAAAATCAAAAAGAATTTAATTTAATTATTTATTTTAAAGTTAATATATAACTAAATATTCTGTGAATATTTCAAGCGTCTACCTGTTGCCGTTATCAATATAGAGCAAGAGCGAGCAAAAAAATCACATTTGTTGTATGGGAGCCCACTTAAATATTTATTCTATTTTGTTTTTTTTAGAAGGTTATAACGGCAACAGAAATACATCATCTGTGAAAATTTCAAACTATCACAGTTCATGAGATACGGGCTGGTGACAGACGGACAGATAGACAGATGGACAGCGGAGTCTTAGTAATAGGGTCCCGTTTTACCATTTGGGTACGGAACCATAAAAAGGTACATCGAGGTACATCATGTCTCGTAGTTAAAAATCACTTAGATTAATTATTCTACCCTCGGGGGTCCACCCCTATTTAATTTTCAGTTTATTTGGGACAACCCTTGATGTATAATATATTCATTAAAAAAATATGAAAATCAATTCCTTTGCGAAGATATCGCGTGATATGAACACATACAGGCACACAAATAAATAATATAAAGCTCAATATTTTTGAAGTTGTATAGGCAGGTTTGTTTGTATGGGGGGTAAATTCATGTGAGTCGTCATCGACATAGTCACGTGACGTGTTAACGCTAGCACTCAGAGTGCCGATAGATGTCGAAACCAGATAAATGTAAACAGTTTTAATTTACATATTTTAATTTAAGATCAAACTATTAATTTGAATATCCACAAAACTAACAACTGTTTATTTATAATTTTAAGTTTTTTCACTTCTATCAGCAGTCCTCATGAGTCCTTTTTTTTAATATGAAAGTTCTACTATAGTTTTTAGAAATTTTGTCGGTCTATCTGTCTGGGAATACATCACAAGAAAATCACTGGACAGATTTGGATGAATTTTTGCTATGATGATAGCCGGGTTGATATATAGGATACTTTTTACTGCGACAAAATATCTCGCCTCTGAGAAATGTATACTAAACGTTAAAACGTAACTCTAGTTAAAATATTAAAATCACTCAAAAACTCATGTTTTATTTTATTCTGTCATGGGTTTTTTTTTTAATTTGTAAAGTCCCTTTAATTATTAGAATTGACAATTGAACTTTCGTATCGCATTTGTAACAGCATTCGATAATAATCTTAATCTTTCACAGATGAAGTGCACGAGGACGGGCAGAGGTTGAACATGGAGGCTGGTTGGGTGGTGCTCGCTGCCGCCTTCGCGGCGGTCTTCGCCCAAAACAATAGAAGTAAGTAGCGATGGATATTATAAAAATTTTAAAACAAAAAGCAGCAAAAAAGTAATCGTAGCTAAAGATTTATCTCATATTGTATCCCAATGTCAGAACTTACTCGTACAACCAAACAAACTGACGACTTCCGCCCATCCAGCGATACAGGAAATGGAAACCGGAAATAACAATTGTGATGTAACTTATGCGATTTAGATGATAGGATTTTGGTAAAACCAATAATAGTGACATGTGAAGCTAATACAAACATGTTAAATAAATAAATGTGTTAAAATAATATGTTAGAAAATTAACACAGCGCCAGCTGTCCGACAAGAATGTCGTAAACACACTAGATGGTTCTAGTTCCATGGTTGTTGAGTTGATATTATACTACACATATATAACCTTTAATACATACATATTATAAATATAAACACCCATGACTGGAGTACAAAAATTCGTGCTGATCACGTAAGTGAATGCCACCAGCTAGACTCGAACCCGCGACCGCTCGCATAGCAAGTAGGGTTACTACAAACCAAACGTGCACCAAACAAGCCAAACGTGTCGTCGAGAAATTTAAGTCTACTAAGCGAACTTTTTATTTTTATTACATACTAGCGACTCACCCTCGCTTCGCTCGGGTTCGTCCCTAGCTTACTTCCCAATACGAACTTTCATCCCCATTTTCACCCCTTTAAGGAATTAAGTTCTGGGATGTAAAGATGTCCTATATCCTTCCCAGAGTCTCAAACTATCTTCTTACCAAATTTCATCTAAATCGGTTCAGTGGATCCAGAGATTACCCCCTACAACGTCACAAACTCACAATTCACAAACTCACAAACTTTACCTCTTTATAATATAAGAATAGACTAGCGACTTACCCTCGTTCCGCTTTGGGGCTAGGTACGTTTTAATTTTTGGAGCGGAATCTTTCATATTTTTGTTATATTTTATTACATATAATTAATACATAAAAAAATTGTAAAAATCTCCATTGTAGACATTTATAATTTGGTATTCAGTACCTACGTCTAATTGTCCAAACCAATTTCGAGGACTAATATAACTTTACCGTATGGCACTTACAGAATACATAAATCAAAATATTTCAAACAATAAAATATAAAAAATGGTCTAACTTTGTACGAAACTCACATTTCTTTGTCAAATGCAGGATCTTGAACAACTCCTATAGTAAATCCGACTTTAAAATTCGTTTGGACTTGAATAGTTTTTACTGCTTTTGTCTATTAAGTTTGCTAGGTTTGAGAAAAATGGAGTTTAAAGTTGAAGGGATCTAATATAGCCCGTTTACATTTAGTCGTGCTGATCAATGATCAATTTTTGATAGCAAACGACCTATATATAGACAGTGGGAGACCAGTCGTACCTAATGCTTTCTCACTTAGTAGTTTATGGTTATAAATATAATAATGGCAACACTAAATATAGATTACTAATTAATATTTTAAAATTGTAATAATTATAATAATAACAGCAAAATTATATAAATAATATTCCATATTCAATTATAAAACTAATTAAAATTATAAAAATGTTTAAAGTTAAAATATATTGTAAGGTAATTGGTGAGATTTTCATTTTGTTAATTGTGGGTAGGCTGTCTGTACAACTACACTTTCGAGACATGTAACACCTCAGTCTCTCCCGTGACCATGAATGCCATAAACCATTCGAAACGTCGGGAACCAAAAATCCAAATAAATCCGCTAAAAAGATCCGAAAAGATAGTTTTATTTAAAATGTCAAATATTCGCATAAATCTAAGAAAGTATTATATTGACTTACGTTATTTTCTAAACCTGTGTACACAAGTCGAATAACGAGTTGATCAACTTTTTTTCGTTTACATCCAGCCGTTTTTCAAATGTCATTAAAAATTAAAAAGCCCTGTTTACATTTGTTTTGTGTTTGCTTATTGCCCTTTTGGCCATATAATCTTTTTACTATTAATCGTGTTTGTAATTTGGGAACCCCGTTTACATACGAGTATAATTTTCATCTGTTGGCCTTTTGGGAAGACCATTACCATTACAATAAAAGATAGTTACTAGCAGCTTACAGAACAACGTTTACATTAAATTCTACTAAAATTATATATGCGAAAGTTTGTGAAGATGTATGGATGTCTGGATGTATAGATGTATGGATGTTTGTTACTCTCACACAAAAACTGTGTACTGCTCATACATCAGAATAATACATAGGCTACTTTTTATCCCGGAAAAATGTGCGGTTCCCGTGGGATAGATTTGTTTTCAAAGTTTAGTTTATACTTTCACTTTAAATTATTAATATTTTATTTATTGTATAACATTTAAGCATATAAGAATATTCACATTAAAAAAATAAAGACTATATGTAACATATATCATTAAACTGTCATGAACAAAATTAAAAATATTTTATTCCTTTAATAGCGGCTTATCTTCGCTTCGCTTTGATGCTCTTTAGGGAGAAATAGTTTAAAAACGCATAGAAAACAAACATACAAAGAAAAAAAATATTTTGTCAAAATAACTCACCAGAGTTTCATCACAATCGGATGAATGGCTTAGCAAATCACAGAAGACAAACATACGAACATTAATAAATAATAATAAATAAATATGTTGGTACATTAACATACAGCACCATCTAGTTCCATGGTAAGCTACGAGGCTTGTGTTATGGATACCAGATAGTTGATACACTACACATATGTATATAACTTTAAAGACATACATATAATACATATAAACAGTAACACCCATGACTGGACTACAAACATTCGTACCCATCACACAATGAATGCCTCCAGCGGGACTCGAACCCGCGACCGCTGTCACAGCAAATAGGGTCACTACACACTGAGCCAAACGTGTCGTCATTCATTTTTTATTTCTATAGATACGAGTATTTATCTCCTATTTCTCATATATTTTTGTCTGTTCCCATTCTATTCTAATAGGTTTCTCATTACGCAATACGCATATCGCTCACCTGAAATATAAGATGGATATGTATTTACATTTTGTAGGCGGCGCGTAGTATAATGACTTATTTATAAATGTTTACTTAGATTTACGCGAATATTTGAATATTTGATTACGTTGCGGCTTTATTTCATACTAGCGACTCAACCTCGCTACGCTCGGGTTCGTCCTTAGTTAAATCAAATTCAAAATATTTTATTCAGCATTGAATTATTACAAATTTTTACTAAACGTCATGAGTCTATCAGTTCGGAAGGTTACGTTTTAACGTTTAGTATAGATTTCTCAGAGATGAGATATTTTCCTGCAGTAAAAAGTATCCTATATGTTGATCCGGATAACCACGTACCATCATTCCAAATTTCATCAAAATCCCTCCAGTGGCTTCCGTGATGCGATTATAGACAGACAAAAGGACAAAAATTCTAAAAACTATATGTTCGGCTTCTGTAGTTTGTTAAATTAGTCTGTTAAATTTAAGGGTGGGAGAAGAAGGGAGGAGGTTTGGGGGATTTGGTTGGTTCGTGAACTACTCAAAGTGGGTACGCCACTGAGTAGCTGCTGTACAACAAACATAGTCACGGGAGAAACTAAAGTTTAAGACAACTAACCCAAAAGTCCAAAATATAATAAAATATTTTATAATTTTGTTACCGACCTCTAGTATCAGAATATAAAACCGCGACAAAATCCGAAAAGATAAATTTTATTTAAAATGACTCATTTCTGGTCCAACCTTGAGACTGATGTTGACATTAATTTTATAAGTATGGAGTATCAATAATTTTTGTTTGCTTCAATAAAAATATCATATCTCAAATGAGTTCAAATATTGTTTTAGTTTAACGACGTACCGCGCTTCGTTTGCGCGCGTCCTTAGGTTTTGTTCACAATTTTATGAGTTTAAATTTTTTTCGCGGACCCCTAATTCTTTTGCTAAAATAAAAGTAGCCTAAGCTATTCCTACTAACATCAGCTATCTGCCAGTGAAATTTTAACAATTACTTTTTTCTAATAAGTACCGTATATAATTTCATATGCACTAAATAAAAAGCTATTATATTGACATTACACACAGACACTTCAATTTTATTTATCTGTATCGATATCTGATTTTTAGATCTGAGACGAAAGGTCTTCCAAGGACTTAACTAAAGTACATTAAAAGGCTAACTTAAAGTCATCAAACGCTTTATAAATAACCAAATCAATATCTATTTGAATATTTATCTTTTGTTTAGTCTAAGTTTAGTTTATCAGAAATAAATAATAATGAATAAATATGTTGGTACATTAACACACAGCACCATCTAGCTCCATGGTAAGCTACGAGGCCTGTTTTATGGATACCAGATAGTTGATACACTACACATATATAACTTTAAATACATACATAATTATTATAAATATAAACACCCATGACTGGAGTACAAACATTAGTGCTCATCACACAAATAAATGCCCTCAGCGAGACTCGAACCCGCGACCGCTGGCATAGCAAGTAGGGTCAGTACAAACTGAGCCAAACGTGTCGTCTAATAACTAAATATTTTGTTCGATTCGGAACATTAAATTATATCAGAGCCACCCTACAAAAATGAACTCACAACACTACACTTCCGGTTATCATTTCCTTAGCGATGGCCGGAACTATGTTTGTTTACAATTTGATACATATTAATAATCGGGACAAGCGATCGCTACTAATATCATAAATGTGCGAGTGTTTGTCCGTTTGTGCTTTTTAAACAATGTATATCCATACTTCCATATCTAATATTATAAATGTGAAAGTGTGTTTGTTTGTCCTCCTGTCACGTCGAAAGAGTGACGGATTGGCGTGATTTTATGTGTGGCGATAGACGATAGTTGGAGAACTGGAGGGTGACAATCTGACTGTCTAGTTTTTACCGCGGGAGATTATCTCATTCCCACGGGAAAACACGTTATAATACAAACAACGATTCATCATACCTAAAAAGATATATAATATACTGTTTGAATATATGTATGTATCTATCTACGTATATGTCGCAGGCTGCAAAGCTGGACAGTCTCATTGGCCTATTCACTAACATATACACCTACAGTCAATGCGGAAGTCTTGGGTTTGAGTCCAGGGTCGGGCCAAGTATAATTATTGAATTTTTCCGCCAAGAAAATTTCAGTAATAACCCGGAGTCGGGAAATTGACGATATTTTATCCCCGTGCCTTTAAGAATACATGAAACCTGTTCTACGTCTGATCTTACCCCAATTGTATGGAAATATCGTCCCATCGGACTTTGAAAATAAAACAAATAGGCAGTACACATTGTGTTTGCGTGTAAACGGACTACAATATCTCTTGGAGAATACTAGTCTCAATGGAATTGGCCGCCGTGACCGAAATCGGTCAGCGGGACAATACGTTGTAGGTATATTGTATATGGTCAACTAATAAAAGTACCATCGAATTGCCAACGCTTGATATACAAAATGGCGAAGGCAAATTGTAAAACGTTGGAAATATGGTGAGTCGTAAGGGTTTCTGGGTGCAAGTTTATAGTTTAAGAACGCATACGTAACAAATAAACTCGCGGACTTAATGGTATCTATACATATGATAAAATTCTGACTGAGTCGAATCAGTAGCTTAAATATTTTTTGGAAAATCTTATTGAAATAGTCATTTTTATCGATATAGAGGCCGAATCTATAGTTTTCAGAATGTTTGTCTGTCTGTCGGAGAACGCATCACGAGAAAACCACTAAACAGATTTTGATAAAATTTGGTATGATGCTAGCTGGTTATCTGCGTCACCATATAGGATACTTTTTACTGCGAGAAAGTATCTCTCCGCGGAGAAATCTATACTAAACGTTAAAATGTAATTTAAATTTTGAAAATGGAAAAATTGACGACTTAGTCTTGTTGCCATACAGTTTATTAACCGACTTCCCAAAAGGAGGAGGTTCTCAATTCGTTGGAATCTTTGCTTTTTTTATGAATGTTCACCGATTACTCGAAGACGCCTAAACCGATTTGGATTTTTTTTGTTTCGAAGGGTATATATACTTCCCAGGTGGTCCCATTCAAATATTTACGAAATCGGTCGAGCAGTTTTTAAAAAATCAACAATTTTTTTTTTTAAATAAATTGCTTAATCGAATATGTTATTAAAAAACTTACTTCTTACAAATTACCTGCTTATTGCGTCTACACTAAAAATGGAAAAATAAAAGCTTTATAATAAAAAGCCGACAATATTTCAAGATATGAATATCTAATAGATAGAAATAGATCTGCTTTGCATCAACTGGCACCGACTTCGAAAATATCTGATTAGGTATATATTCTAAATGAAAACCCCCGTTTAGTTATTTTTAACAATTTAGTGCATGAAAGTCGGTTTTTTTTTCAAAAGTTTTTATTGCTACTTCAGACCGTTTAGGCAGCGTAGGCTGATAAAGCAACCCAACGACCAGTTTTTTCTAACTTCAATTTAAAGTTACTATGATGTTTGACTGTAAACACATTCTAATTGGAATAAAAACTAGCCTAAAGCCCTCGGCGGTAATATAGCTTGCTATTAGTGAACTTTCAGAATCAGGATTAAATTCTACATACAAACTTACATATGTACATTACTTCTTTATAATATTAGTGTAGATGTGTATGTATTCAGACCTTTTTAAACGTTCCTCTGCTTCCTTCAATACAAGGGGGATCACGCCATAGTCCACACCATTGGACAAATGCAGGCGGACTGAGCTTGTCTTTTGATTTGTTAGGTTCTCTCAGACATGCAGGTCGATGTTTTCGTTCACCGTAATATATGTAAGACAAGTGGTGATCGTGTTGAAAATACACATGAGAATGTCAGAGCGAGACCCGGGATTTGAACTCGCATCTAGACTACCGCTGCCTTAGAGTAGATACTCGTAGTTATATAAAAAAGACTATTATACAATAAATCGTAGCAGTTCTACCGGAAATATTCCATTACGAACAAAACGGAAGAGGCGATCGTTTAGACTTCCCCAACGCTATTGCTCGCAGACACGACTTTTTAATTGGCAAAACCAAAGGAATAATGCTGTATCGATTTTGATTAAGTTATTATATTAAGTAAACAGCAGGTAGTGCTAGCCCAGTGGTAATCTTCTCGCTCAGGAAACGGAGTAAAGCGGGTTTAAATCCTGGGTCTCGCACCTCTGCTATTTTCATGCCCGAATCATTTCTAACATAATTACCACTTGTCTTGGATTACCATCGTACGTGAAGGAAAACATCGTGAGGAAGCCTGTATATGTGAGAAAACCTAGCAAGTTTTCGAAAGACATGTGAAGTCCGCCAACCCGCACTTGGTCAGCGTGGACTATGGCCTGATTCCACTCGTATTGAAGGGAGGTCCGTGCCCAGCAGTGGGACCTTATAAAGGGCTGAATACTGAATACATTAACTAAACATTCATTGTTGGGGTTTTTACTCTATCTGTTATAGTGAGGATCACGAAGATTCACATACGGGGTAAATATTTGCTTTTAGAGATGATGTTTATAGTTTAGAAAAAGGGTTTGGAATATTTATTTAACTATATTTTCTCTCTTTCTTTCTAATATAATATAAATATCTTGTCGTCTCTAGTTTGTGGTCGCATTCCTCCGAAACGGAGCGACCGATTTCGATGATTTTTTTGTGTATGTTTATGTGGTAAGTATGAGAATGGGTCGCAAAGTATTTATCATCATCCCCTTTTTCTAAGTAACTAGGGGCGAACCCGAGCAGAGCGAGGGTGAGTCGCTAGTAATCTAAATAATTATTATTTTTGAGTTCAAAATTTAATCGACCACTATTTTATTAAATGTACTTATTTGACTTCTTGATAACCTGTTAAAAATAATGAAAATCGGTTTATTATTTAGATGTATAATTTAGAGCTAATAAATTGTAATTGAGTATTATAATAATTACGTTTTTACTCTACGAGTATATATAACATGACAAATTAATTGATCTGAATGATAATGAATCTGAATTCAACAGATGCTGAATGTCTTTAGTGTTTTTTTTTTTTTTTTGTAAAAATAAGTAATTTTTTAATTCTCTGTTCCAGATGATGGTCCAAGGTTCATATCTCGGGGGCACTCCTTCAGAACTGTTGTAGGAGACACATTACTTCTGCCATGCCAAGTTCAAAATTTAGGTAAGGTTTTAGATAGATAATCTGTGGACGACGATAATACGACAGAAACTTAATAAATATTCCAGATCCAGGTCATGCTTCAGTTTATAGTATATCAAGATGTTCCTTGGGTAGCTCTGAAGACCATTCAATGAAAGCCTATAATTTGATACTTTCCTTAAAATCGGTAACACTATTCAGATCTTCAATGGCACAAATCAGGTTTGACTGCGATGTTGTAAAGCATTGAATCTCAATGTTGTGACTTCAAAATTGCACAACTGTTTAACTGTGCTTAACCAATTTCAAAAAAGGAAGTTGTTTGTCAATATTTGGAAAACATCTAGAATATATTGGAGCATAAATAGTTTTAGAATCTTGTTTGCCAGTCAGGCATTAATAAGACTTGCTTGTTTGAACTGCTAGATACATTTTAGTAAGACAAAGTTTTTTAGTTTCAAAAAACAAATACCTAAGTAATCGTCAAATTTAAAATATTTTTTTTATTTTTTTTTATTTTTATAGATTGAAAAATATCACTGCTTGAGATACTTCTTTTATATGCCACCGATCATAATTCTAGGGGCTTTAACAAGATGAATTTCTTTCAAGAAGACTTACTTCTTTAATAGAAAATATTCAGCAATGATACACACAAATAAGAATGATTCTCAGGTGAATGGTTACAATCTGTCATTCTCATTTACTTTTGACTGATTTCAATAAAAAAGGATTCAATTTGGGCCTATGTATTCAGATATATATTATTGTTTTTTGAAGTGTAAACTTCTATAGCCAGGTTTGTATGGGGAGTAAATTCATGTAAGTCGTCATCGACATGGTCACGTGACGTGTTAACGCTAACACTCAGAGTGCCGATAGATGTCAACACCAGAGAAATGTAAACAGTTTTAATTTACACATTTTAAATTAAGATCAAACAATTAATTTGAATATCCAAAAATAACAACTGTATGTTTATAGTTTTAAGTTTTCACTTCTGTCGGCGGTTCTCGTGATTGCTTTTTTTAGTGTATAGATATTAGATATATACAATTATCTAAACCTATACCTATATTGGAAAAGATATTTTCGTAAACTATAAGAGAAATAGGTTGTTGAAAGTCAACTTGTGTATTGGTGCAAAATACATGGGCATAGACAAATATAGAAGGTAGTAAATAATAACATAATACCCCCACAGGATCACTCGTACTTCTCTGGAGACGAGGTCCAACAGTGCTAACTGCAGCCAGCCTCATGGTCACAAGGGATGAGAGGTTCCGACTGGTGGACGGTTACAATCTGCAAATAACTGAAGTTGGACCACAAGTAAGCATTCGAATAGATGATTTTGCTATTAGGGTGGAGGAAATTTTTTTTTTCTTAGCTTGGGGGTATATAATTTGCAGCTCAAAAAAAAACAAAAGCTTGAAATAAATAAAAAAAAGCTTTTAAAAAAATTGAGTAGAAAATGACTAGGTACATATATTCGTCAATTGTTGAATATTTTCAAAGTTGATCATTCGAAAAAAAAATCATTCAAACCAAAAATTTTAATTGATTATTATTTATTTTAAAAATCAGTGGGCCTTCTCGAAATTTTGAGTAAATTTTTTTTGTTTAAATTTTTTATAAGCTACAAATTATACTAAGAGAGTATAATTTGTAAGCTAAGAAATTTTTTATTTTCACTCCACCCTATTCTTTGTAGAAATACCATTTTCTTTAATTGATAATAGAAAATACATTTTTTGTGACAAGTGTAATCGAAAAAGATTTTTGCGCTTGTGTTACTTTAATTCTCGCAAATATAAATGCGAGATTTTGTTTGTGAAGTTTTTGTCAGTCACGTATGCTCTGATTGCCATCTTTTTTTACTAGAATAACATCGTATGTCCATTAAATGAAACTATCTTTTAGGATTTTTCGCAGTTTTATTTGATATTTTTTTAACAAACTTGGTCACGGGAAGGACCACAAATCCACAGCAAAGGAAAAAAAATTAAAACAAATCCGCGAAAACCCCGAAAGATAGTTTCATTTTAAATCTATACTTATATTATAAAGAGGAGAGATTTATTTGTTTGTTTGTACCGAATAAGCTCCGAAACTACTGGACCGATTTAGAGTAAATTTTAGTAAAAAGATAATTTAAGAACCTGGAAAGAACATAGGATAGTTTTTATCCCGGAAATCATCCCTTAAGGATATCCTGAAAACGGCAATGAAAGTTTGTATAGGGAACCAACCTCATGTATGTGTCATATATACTCGCATAAATCTAAAATCTAAAAGTATTATCCTATATATCTAACTATTTTTTTAATTAGGTGTCTTCCATCCATAACCAGAAAGTAAATGATTTTTATTGAACATATAAAACCTAAAAATATTGACTACTGAAACTGAAGTACAAAATTCTAAAGCATTCGTTATCCTCTGCAATTTATTCCATAAAAAAGCAACAAGATTGTTAGCACAAGTCACTTTTGTATCTCAATTCTCAGAAATAGCGTTTTTGTCGTAAAAGTAACGAACACCCTTTTATAACACCAATTATCATATTTTCATGCCCAATTATATTTTTTGGGCTTTTTGTAGCAATTTTATGGGGTAATTTTGGTAAGGGTGGTGTAATGATGGTGATATGTAGGGCTACACTTTTTATGAGGGCCGACGTAAAAAATATTTAAATTACGTACATGTGTTTGATAAATATAGGTCACGTTCTCTTCTATCCTAAAATCTAAACATTCTGAATTGGTTTAAGTTAAATTATATTAAAAAAAATACAGTTTTTGACCAATTATAATAACTCGGGCTCTATAAGACAAATCGTAAAAGCCCAATCTATAAGGCATCGATTCCCAAAAGATGGTCCACGGAGCCCTAGGGTTCCGTGGAAGGGTCACAGGGCTTCTGAGTTCCGTCCGAGAGTTAAATAAAACGTTGCCAGACATGAAGTCTAATTTTAGTGCAATTATGAAAAAATACATGAAAGAAATTTATTCATCCACAAAAAATCACGCCAATCCGTCTTTCCATTTTGACGTGAAAGTGGGACAAACAAACACACTTTCTTTCACATTTATTATTAGTATGGAAGTATGGATTTACAGGAGACACAGTTGTTAAAACATCTTAAAATCATAACTAAAAACACAAAATATAGAAAAACGTTTAACATTTAAAGGTATCACAACAGGCACCATATTGTACCACAGCCATATACAATATCTACGAAATAATTAGAATTAATAATATAAATATGCAAAACGCAAACATAACTTTTCTAAGTCAATTAACATTTCTTTCATTTAAAAGTCAATTTTCTGGGAAAGATATTACGAATTGAGATTTTTTCAAATCTTTTGATTCAATTAAACGATAAAGAATTTAATGACAACGTTTACTTTTACTTTAATGTCTAATCGGGTAGCGTTTTGGTTCGAACTTAATCTCGTACGGACGCAGTTTATTCTATCTGGAGGTGATTGGATTTACCTAGTGGTTGTTTTTGGAACTATAGCAGTTTACAGAGCTTTTTTTTGGTTACTTGATCGTCATTAATTACGATATATTAACATCCTTTAATTACGTGAGCTCGAAATAGGGGAGGGGAGGTTTAAAATCTCATTTAAACTTTGGGGGGATCTATTGAAAATCTTACGTCAGCTTTATGAGTTTCGTTCGTTTTCTTTATAAGTCTACGATTTGTCCCACCATACCATTTATTTTGAGAGAACGTTGTATTTTTTAAACTTTAAAGTAAATCTCACGTGAGGGGTGCCCACAAAATCTCATCAAGGGGGAGGGAGGGTTCCAAATTATGAAAAAAACAGCTCATATGCCCCCTAAATAATTACAAGTCCGCAGCTTCGTCCGCATAACTTATTTATCTATACTAATATTATAAAGACGGTAAAGTTTGTGAGTTTGTGACGTTGTAGGGGGTAATCTCTGGATCTACTGAACCGATTTAGATGTTTGGTAAGAAGATAGTTTGAGAACCTGGGAAGGACATAGGATACTTTTTATCCCGAAAATCATCCCTTAAGGGGTTGAAAATGGGGATGAAAGTTTGTATTGAGAAGCAAGCTAGGGACGAAACCGAGTGAATCGAGGGTGAGTCGATAGTGTATTCATAATATATCCAAAACTCCTTTCTTAACCAATTCTTACACCCTAAAAAGAGCGATATTTTTTCTGAAGTCCCCATTGTAACATTTTTCATATTTAGACATTTATAGTCAAAACTAGATACTTACCCTCTCTTCGATCCCTAGGAATCCTTTTGCTATACATTTTATTGGTTTTTTTTCACACCATTGAGCACGCCAATAAAGAAACTCAACGGCTAGTTTTTTCTAACATCAATTAAAAGTTACTATGACTTCTGACAGTGACCATAATATTTTTATCGAAACAGAAAAAGCCTTTAGCATTCGATAATAATGCAGCATGCTATTAGTGAAAGAATTTTCAGAATCGGATCAGTCTTTTCAGAGATTACCTCCTATATACAAACTTACGAAATTAGCCTCTTTATAATATTAGTGTAGATAAATAAAGCTATCCCAATCCCCATCAGGATGCTGGGGACTACGTCTGTCAGATCTCAGACAGAGTCCCGCGGGATCAGGTCCACACTGTCGAAGTCTTAGTACCGCCAAGTGTGAGAGCGTCTCCGGAGTCAAAACACGCCGCAGCACGTCGTGGGGGCTCTGCTGTGCTCGAGTGCAGGGCGTCGGGGAATCCCGTGCCGACTGTCACTTGGCATAAACTGGTAAGTTTTTATTTACTCTAGAAAGTGGATGTATTATTTAGTTTAATCATCAAAATTATTCTACTTGTGTGTGCTTATCTATCTATCCACAAATACTCCACACGCTTATGTGGACTCAAAATTTTACTTTACCCCTAATTTACATTTTGACGACACTTTTGGCTCAGTTTGTAGTGACCCTACTTGCTGTGCCAATGGTCGCGAGTTCGAGTCCGGCTGTGGGCATTCATTTGTGTGATGAGCACAAATGTTTGTACTACAGTCATGGGTGTTTATATTTATAATATGTATGTATTTAAATTTGTAATTCAAATGTGTAGTATATCAACTATCTGGTACCCATAACACAGGCCTCGTAGCTTACCATGGAACTAGATGGTGCTGTGTGTTAATAAATTAACTTATTTTCTCACTTCTGAAGGGTTTCTTGAAGAAATCTCTTAAAGAGATAAGTTATCCTTTGTCGACATTCTGTTACTATACTTAGTTTAACATATATTTTATGGTACATAAATAAATATATTTATTTAAGGAACATATTTATTTAAGTCACGCACTATTTTTGACTTTGATATTCATATTGGCGGACTCCATCTTCATATGTTTGAGACAGCATGTTATAATCTAACAAAGCACACCGACTTCGAAAATATTTGATTAGGTATGTATAGTAAATGAAAACTACCAATCAGTTATTTTTTACTTTTTAGTGCTTTTGTTTGAAGTCGGTCTTTATTTTTTTGTTAAAAAGTTTTTATTTTTCCCTTTTTAGTGTAGACAGTAGTAGCAAAGTAAGAATTCTAACGTATTAGGCTTGTCAAATCAAACAAAACAAGCCCAAACTCAAAGTATCTACTATTAGCCGTTGAAGAGTTCCACCTATCCACCTTCTGGCCTTACCATCATATCAGGTCAACAATACCGAACCACTGTACTATCAACGGAAATAGAAACACTTGCAAATTTTCAAGTCAATATGACAATTAGAAGTAGGTTAAATTCATCATTAGCTATTTTTCCACCCTTAGGGGTGGTATTTTTTTTTGAAATTTAAATGGGACCAATCTGGAAGTATACACTTTCAAACAACACAAAAATTGTCCAAATCGGTTAATAAATGACGGAGTTCTGAGGTAACAAACATAAAAAAAAAATTAAAAAAATAAAAAAAAAAAAAACAAGAAAAAATACAGTCGAATTGAGAACCTCCTCCTTTTTGAAGTCGGTTGAAAAATAACACAAAACACTCAAATCTTGTAATATATATTTAGTAGTAATATAATTTTTAATTGTTAAAGAAAATACATACAGTCAGTGAATCTCCTATTTTTGACATCGGGTGATAATTTTAAGTTGAAAGTTCAAAATAAGGTGAGTTTTTAATACCAAAGTTTAGATTTAGAAGGAAAAGTTCTGATGATGCTAGAACAGCTGGTTTCAGCATAAATTATAATTTAAGCCTAGATTTTGCAAAATAGACTTAGATTAGTCTACATGAAGTTATCAAATATTCATTATACGTAAAGTTAGTGGTAAACTGTCTACAACGTGAATCGTGTCTTTACCTATAGATATAATAAAATTGTAACTGAGTCGAATCTGTACATTAAATATATTTGTTATTGAATTAGTCAGTATTTTCGATACAGAAGCCGAATCTATAGTTTTTAGAATTTTCGTCTATCTGTCTGTCTGGGAAAGAATCACGAGAAAACCACTGGACAGATTTTGATAAAATTTGGTACGATGATAGCTGGCTATCCGGGTCCACATTTGGGATACTTTTTACTGTGGAAAAATATCTCATCTCTGAGAAATTCAGGTATACTAACCGTTATATATATTGCAAATCGTCTAACTTCTTATCAGCAGGGGGGGAGGGGAGGGTGGGGGGATCGGTCTGGGGGACTTCGTGGGGTCTAAAAATGACATTTAGGTTAATTAATTAGTACTAAACTAATTGGCACTGTGCCTTTACAAAATCTATAATGATAGATGGCACTAGACAAAATTAAGACAACGCTGGTGGTTAATTGATCTCAAGGTTATTAGGCCAACCGTTTATGGCCATATTTTTTTTATTTTAGATACATTTTTATTTTATAAATTCACAATATTATCCATTGTTTTTAACAGCGGGCCCCCAATATCTTAGGGGCCCGGAGCGGCAATACCAAAAATCCTATATATAAATAAATAATCTGTTGGGATGTTAACACACAGCACCATCTAGTTCCATGGTAAGCTACGAGGCTTGTGTTATGGATACAAGATAGTTGATAAACTACAATATATAATTTTAAATATATACATATTATAAATATAAACACCCATGACTGGAGTACAGACATTCGTACACATGACATATGAATGCCTCTAGCGGGACTCGAACCGCGACCGCTCGCACGCAAGTAGCGTCACTATAAACTGAGCCAATCATGTCCTTGCTTTTCAGGGGGCACTGAAAACTGTATTGTTTCAATATTAATACAAATTATTTAAACATATTATTATAACAAAAAGTACTGTTGAAATGATTGGTTTAAATTTAACCGACTTGCGAATCAAGGTATCAATATATATGTTACGTATACAGAGCGCTTAGACCACTTTTAATTAATTATACACTTTTCCATCAAATATCATCTAATATATAAATATCTCGTGTCACGGTGTTTGTGGTCGCACTCCTCCGAAACGGCTCGACCGATTTTGATGTTTTTTTTTTTGTATATTTGTTTGGTATTAGAATAGGTCGTAAAGTATTTTTTACCCTCCTACCCCCACGCTCTATTTTTTAATCGCGATTTTAGTATTTATGTACTTAAGTATTTATATAATATATTATATAAATACTTAGCGACGAACCCGAGTGAAGCGAGGGCGAATCGCTGTATAACATAAAGCCAAAGATTTTTTTTGTAGATTGTTGGTTCTGCTATTAATAATATAATAATGAAAATCCAACGTATTTTTTAGAACGATTCCAGCACTCGTCTAGCAGAAGGGGCTCAACTACAGCTCTCTCGTCTAGAACGCCAACACAGCGGTAAATACGTGTGCACTGTAGACAATGGCGTCGGTCAGCCCATAGTTACCGAGTTCCAGTTGCAAGTGCTTTGTGAGTTGATGTTACCTGTTTATTCTTGCATGTTACCAATTTATTCTTGAACGTTTCCAAACGTAATGTTACCTTATTTAATCAATCTGAATGTATTTTGGCTGAATGTCTATTGAACATTAAAATAGATAGGAGCTAAATGATATTTCATGAATCGTTAGTTTATTACGAGTCGTAAATCAATGTAGAACGGTTGAAGGAATTTCAATGAAACATTATTGGAATAGGTATTCAGGTCAGAAATTAACATTATTGCTAGATTTCATTATAATCGCTTGATAAAACATAATTTGAGCTTTTCATTTTATGATACACTCTTATATAGTCTTAAATACGTAACCAAAACCACTTGCAAAAAGTAGTATTTATTATATATTTTTTCTATAATTTTTTTATTAAAATTTCAGATCCGCCAGAAATTATGGTAGAGAGATCGTGGGTTCACACCGGGGAAGGGTTTCGCGCTGAACTTCTATGCACAGTACTCGCCGATCCGCCTGCAGAGGTAAATATAGTGCTACTTATTTGACGACACGTTTGGCTCAGTTTGTAGTGATCCTACTTGCTGTGCCAGCGGTCACGGGTTCGAGTCCCGCTGGGGGTATTCATGTGTGTGATAAGCGCAAATGTTTGTACTCCAGTCAAGGGTATTTATATTTATAATATGTATGTATTTAAAGTTATATATGTGAAGTGTATCAACTATTTGGTATCCATAACACAGGCCACGTAGCTTACCATGGAACTAGATGGTGCTGTGCGTTCCCAACATATGTATATTTATTTATTTACTTACATGATTGTTATTTTCTTAAGTTATATAATGTAATAATATGAAGTTATGCAATGTAATTTATATTCAACCAACTTTTAAAAAGGTGAGGTTCTTTGTTCGTCCATATCTGTTTTTTTATGCTGCCATAGCCTAAAATATTGGAGTATTTGAGGTACATTACTGTGACGTGTGAAGTATCCATTGATAGGCTTTATTTTATACATTTTCATACTCCCTACAAATTGACTAAAATTATTATCAAAAATATTACACCTGCAGACAGCTGGTCGCAATCAAATAAAAAGTTAAATATTTGCGTTTTAAGAAAGCATTTTGGTACAGGTTAGTCTAAGTATAAACAAAACATACCTAATGGAAATAATATTTTATTTTATTTCTTTAGGTAGGTACAGAAACAGAAAACCAATTTAAAAAACATAACTACATCAAAAGATAAAATATAATTTTAAATTTGTTGTCCAATTATAAACACAGCACTCAAATAAATACATATAATTATACAAACAAACTTAAACAAAAACTTAATAACAGTATGTGCATTTAAAGTTAGATAAAAATATTAAAAACAAAAAAATATATTTAAAAACCAATAAACATTATGATAAATGTAACCAATTTATTCTAATAATTGACAAATTATTTTAAATTAAAAAATAATATCACCTTCCAGGTCCTATGGTACCAAAACTCCTTCCCACTGAGCGCGTCAGAACGCGTCACAATGTCAGTGCGAGGCAACAATCACACGTTGCTAATAGCTAATGTACAGCCTGAAGACTTTGGAAACTATACGTGAGTTGATGTTTTATACTTATTTATACACTAGCAGTACCCGCGACTTCGCCCGCGTTCAAACTTCCGATCACTACCAAACTTCACAGAATCACCCACTGGGCTCATCTGAAAATTGCCTGAAAATTTCCTCAAAATCACTCCAGCCGTTTTGAAGTCCATAGGGAACCCACATAGATTTTAATATATAGATATAAGAATATACATAAGTTTACAACATTTTCTCACAAAATTGTGGTATCGGTTTGACTGTGGATATATACTAGTGATGCCCTGGTGTTCCTCGTATACGTTTCTAGGTGAAGATGAACTCTCTTTTCGTTTAATTTTTTTTTATAAATAAATGTTTATTACCACATCCACACACCGCTAACTTATTTTTTTATATATACTTTAAAAATCCTTTTTAACAACTGCTGAGCACGAGCCTCCCCTCAATGCGGGATGAGAAAATTTACGTCTTTTAAAAACTAAGCTGTCACTCATGCAGGTTTCTTCACGATGTTTTTCTTCACCATGAGACATGTGGGGTTCATATTGGAAATGATTCGCACATGAGAATATCGGCGGTGCGAGATCTGGGATTTCCAAAGTGCTTTACCACTGGACTATCAGTGCCTTAATCTATACATATAATAAAATTATAACTTAACCGAATCTGTACATTAGATATTTTTTAATGTAGGTACAGATTCGGTGTACAGATTTTTTAATGTACAAAATCTTATTGAAATAGAATAGGTTTTAGAATTTTTGTCTGTCCGTGTGTCTGTTACAGTATCACGGAAAAATCACTGGAGGGATTTTGATGAAATTTGATACGATGATAGCTTGTTATCCGGATCAACATATCGGATACTTTTTACCGCAGATATATCTCATTTCTGAGAAAAAATACAAAAATTGCAAATTTGGTTTTTGGTCATCTGAACGCGGGCGGACCTGCGGGCAATGCTAGTATATTGTAGTCTTTTTTGTTACAACATCTAATCGAATTTTATATGATTTCAGCTGTGTAGCCGACAACAGTCTAGGTCGTGCACGTCAACACGTAGAAGTGTCAGGCCGGCCGGGAGCTGCACGCTTCACTAGCCCGCCACTGGCACGTGCACCTCACTCCTATACACTCGCTTTTGCTGTGGACAGCTATCCTCCATTGGATGAGTTGAGACTGCTCTATAGACAGTTGGCGGTAAGTACACAAAATACCTTTTCCAATTGTTTCGTCACTTGATGTTATTGGGATGGATAGCCTATTTTCAGTAAAACTTTTCAGGTACATAGTTTAAATCAAAATACATAATAAGATAGCTCGTACCATGTAAAATCTATAGAATATTTCGGTAACGTGCATTTTGTATTTTGGGTGAGTCACTAGTTCTTTATACGCGATTAAAATATTGCTTAAAAAGAGTTTAGGTAGATGATTCGACCCTTTTTTAACGTCCCGCTGCTGGGCGCAGACCTACCAGACAGAACTTAGCAAGTTCTTGAAAGACATGTACAAACTGATACATACATCTAAAAAAACCAAGTTAACTAGCTAGTGTATAATACTATAATTTCCCAGATAAACGAATCCTACCAACAACCGGGGAGATGGCACGACGTCGTAATCCCTGCGCCTGCGCACGCTGCGTCCCTCACACACCGCGTAGCGCATGAGCTGCGGGGTCTACAGCCGGGTGCCGTGTACGAGGCTATAGTGCAGGCTAAGAATAGATATGGCTGGAATGAGGTAAGTGTACGATAAAAGAAAGATAAGGATATCTCCTCAAAGAAGTTTTAACAGAATTACAATGAATCATAATTTGTACCACCAATATTGACACCACTACAGTGTCGCGTGGGAGAAGTAGAATGGGGGTTGTGTTTTGTTATATATGATTGATGTGACGTGACGCGATAAGTGAGTGACGAAGTTACGAGTGAGTGTCATTGTGTGAGTGAGTTGAATGAATGATTCGATATAATAAAAGAGTCGACGATAGGAAAATCTCGTTAACAGTCAGTAATTCTTTTTATGGACCATCTTTACGTTTTTATAACAGGATCTGAGATATAGTTCTAAAAGCTTTTATTGCTAGATTTAAAATAATTTACAGTTTTGGTACGAAACAGTTTTATAATTTTTTAAAAAATAAAAAAAATGATTTTAGCCCCATTGGACTTCTTTCGACAGTTGTTTTTAAGGCTGAGAGTTTTTCCAAATGGTGGTAAACTCGTTTAGTCAAAAATATAATAATTGAATGCTGAATAGCATTTTTGGAATTTGAAAATATCCCTTTGACCCCACGGGATACAGTCGTAGATCTGACCAGATAAAGTCACAAATATAAATTTAATGTTTGTTGCCTAGAGATTACTCAAAGAACATTTTATGAATCCAAAATTTGATGCGAGTGAGATAAATGAATAAAAACTATTATAAAACCAAATATTTGCTTTTGTATAGAATCATCACTGCATTATATTTTAATTCTTTGTTGTTTAATTATTTATTTAATATTTTTAGGTGAGCGACATATTCCAGTTCCACACTCTCGGTGGATCGCACTCCGCCCATGCAGACGAGCTCTCACCCGTGGGATTCGCGGCCGCGGGATCCCGTTCTTTGGGCGTGGGATGTATCCTTATAGCGCTATACATATTATGTGTGGGATGATCGGGAATCCCCTTGGAATTAAGTTTCCAATGACGCGGATAACACCAATGGTTCTTTTAATGGTTTTTTTTGTTATTCCTTTTAATTTTTTATCTGTTGATTGATATTAATATTGCATAGATTGCTAATATCATTTGACAAATTAAAAATTGAAATGTCACACACAGTCTTATTGTTTTTTTGTTTTTCTTTCAGTAGTTTATAGCAAATATGTGTAATTCCAAGTCTGTCTAGATATAAATGTAAGTAGGTCATAAATTTCATTTAAATTAAAAAAAAATCGTATAACGGTTAATTTATACACCAATTATAAATTTTTGTACACATGTGTCATATTTTTAAAATATATAATTTAAATTTTTACAAGGTGTCTGCCCTTTTTTCTTTTTTTTTCTATAAAAATAATGACAAATACTACTTCATATAAGCTAATAATTAAGTATAGTCCATTTTTATTTTATTTTTATTTTATTTTGTTTATAATATGTGTAATATATTAACTCAATTAGTTTGATCCATTCGTAGCTTAAAAATGTTGCTCCACACATTTCCACTATTTATAAAACCAGCTTCTAACTCAGGAATAATGCTACTTTCAATTACAAAATAATATTTAAGAATCAATCTAATGGTTTCTAATAAACTCAGTCAACTAAGTCTAAACAGGACAAAGGGCAGTGTGCGCAGAAAGCGCTCCCATTTACATTACAGTCGGGAAATGGCTTTAGGGTTGATCATTGACCAAAAAGTACTAGATACACAATCAACGACAAAAAATGTCCTCACCGAATGAGCGCTCATTTGAACATTTGAGCGCGCTTTTATAGTGTCTGCCCATTACATCGTCTCACGCTCCGTGCACGGCACGTGACGGTGCCGGTCGGTGAAGGAACAGTTTAGTGGGCAAAGTCTCATACTTTTCAATACAAAGAATATTTTTTTGCTTGACACGGTCCTAGCACGGTCATGGTATAAGACGGTGTAGTGGGCAAACTTCTTTAAGGTTCAATTCACATTGTTGTACATTTATCTTAACTAGCACAATTACCTAAGCACAATGGTGACAGTTTTAAGAGAACTTTTGCGTGGGATTGTGTATCTAGTATTTTTTTGATCGATAGAGTTGACGGATATAACTAATTTGCCACGAGATGGCAAAATAAAATGGCATTTCTAAATGACACCTAAATGAGAAATATATACAGTTATTAAACTTATAAAATGGTGGAAAAAATATATTATATACGATTATTTTCGTACAAAAAATTATGTTGGAAGATGTTACATGTATGAACCATACAAAATTTTTAATATTTTTAAGCGACAAATGGATCAAATCAAAACGTACTAAGGACGAATTAAACCAACGTTGTGACACAACATTACTATTTACTTTGCGTGAATATTAAATATATAATATGTCATTTCATGTTTCAAAACTTTTTTTTAATAAATTATAACATTTTCAGAAAATTTATAATTTTCATTATTTTTGTTTATTTTTAATATAAAAAAAATATTTCTCTAACTTTTGTATATTTATTTTGTGTTTTGGATTGTGAATTGATATGAAATTAACTAAAACATAGATAAATAATTATCCTGCCTTAGATTTGTGCGTATTTGAAATTTTAAATAGACACCGTCTATAATAACTTAATTTTACAAAATTATTTCATTTGAAAAAATAAGAAATGTCACTAAAGTACCTTACAATCAAAAATATTCCAAACTTTTGGTAACAAAAAAGGAAAATAAGAACGCAAAGATATCCGAAAACATAATTACTTTGATTTAAAATACCAAATTTTGGCGTAAATAAAATATAAAAAAAAATCATTTAACATTACGCACAAAAGAACAAAAAGCTTTTAATTTATATAATATTATTAATTAATTAACGCCTTATATTTTATAAGATTCATAAATTGACATATTGCATATTAACTATCGAAATATATGTTTATTTAATAAAATCTATAACTCAATATATAGATATTTAATCTGTTTTAAGAATATTTTCTATGAAAATAAATAATAATTTCTCTATTTTTTCCAAAATTTTCCATCTTAACAATATTTTTTTTGAAGCAAAACTGTAAAGCCTGACTGATTGGGAAAAAGAGTATCGCAGAAGTGATAGTCAAATTTATTATTAATAATTTTATAATAATTATTATACATATTTATAAGTATTATAATTTGTTTTAAAATCGCCGTATCTGCCACAGCGCCAAAGAAGTTTTACTTCAACCGCATATAAACAACAACAACTTACACGCATTCTTTTTTTTTCTAACATCACTTAAGTTTCGTTTTAAAAATATAAACAAAATAATTCAATAATTTCACAAAAAAATTACAAAACAGAATTTTTATTTTTTGTCTATGACTCAAAGTTTTTTTTTTATTTCATATTATACTTATATGGTTAATGAAATATATTTATTCTGACTGAATAATTTTAAAGCACAACACCATTTTGTAGGTTAGCGGGTATTTTTTCTAACGCTGTATATAGTATGTAATAACTGGTCTCATGAAATGTTTGGGCTGGAGATATTGTCGCACACCAAATTTGACCGAATTCGATTGTTTTAAATTACTATTAAAATGTTATTTTTTTTGTTTCTTTTTAGTGAAATAAAATTGAACTACAACATACATTCAGTATATGTCTAATACAAATACAAACATAATCATTTCCTAAATAAAGAAATAATATATCTGCAATATTGTTTCTTATGTTTAAAAAAATATACAAACAAGACAATCTAATGTCCATAATTTATTTTTTTTGAAATGGCGGAATTTCCAGCTTTAGAGAAAGAGCTTTCCTTATTTTTTTACATTATGGCCTATTTTCATGAGATCATAGTCTTAAGATTAGTGCTTAATAAAATTTTCCATATAATTTAAAACGCATCATAAATGAATTTATATACTAAGTAATTTATCTATTTAATATTAAAGACGGTTGTGTCTGTATATCAAAGAAATTCGTATAAACCCGTCTTGCATATTGGATAAATAGTCTGTTTTTTCTCCACTATGTTATAATTTTCTACTAACTTAAGAACTTGGTAGCTATATATCTGTAAAGTTAAAAAAAACTTAATTTTTTATGTTATATTAAATATGTATATTTTTTTTATTTTAACCTCTGGTAACATTTGCATTTTAAATAAATATTAAATGTTAAAAATAGTGTCTCAAAACCGCGGGTAACAGCTAGTCCCTATATAAGCAATAAAACGTGTTAGTGATAAAAGCTATATATATAAAAATATTTTGTCTGTACTTTCGTTTTTTGTAATCAAAATGTAAATTGAAATTAAATTTAAGTGCAATATTAATTTTAAAATCGGAAGCAATATTGGACACATCACTAATTTATTATAAATCATTAAATAATAAGGATTTTTTGTTTTCTAAACTAAGTCCATCCACTGTACTACCGTCTTTACTCACAACGCAAATTAAAAAAAAACAATTCTATTTTTTAAAACCACTTCAGAGTAAAAGTGAGACGAATTACTGATATTTTTTATATAAATAATTATAATAAAATTTTGTAATGGTCATTTTATTTTAATTATATTCAAAAATCATATGGATTATAAATATTAATAATTTTCTTTTACATCTTAATATTAAAAAAAACATTAATAATTTAAAAGTAGGGACGTTAATTATATAAAAAATATTATTTTAAACGATAAATATAAAAAAATATTATAAATAAAGACGGTAGTACAGTTCGAAATCTTAACTTAGGTGAATTTTTAAAATATTTTCAAACTCACTGCCATGATAAGCTTTGTTTCAATTTACGGTGTAATGAGAGCGGCCATTGTTGTCAATTGTACAAGATGAATTAAACACTAATATTATTAGTGAGTTCCTTTTATATTTTACTTTTTCTACAATATTCAAGTCTATTCAGCCCATAAAAACTAAATTTAAAGACAAAAATGATTACAATACGATTTAATTAATAATAATATAAAATGATCGAAATTTCTAGAGAGAAATGACAAAAAATAGGACAATTTTTTTTCTGGAAAATTTAAAATACAAAAAAAAATTGTAATACCTACTGTTTTTTTTAAATAAGGGCTATTTCATATATTTTTATTAATTAAGTAAAGAAAGATTTATATCATCTTGTACATTATTGACAAAACTTTTTGTAATTAGACGTAATTTATTAGAAGACAAAAAAGAAAAATTTTTTAGATTAAAAAAAAATGTAAAAATTTAATTGGCTGTAGTTAACGCCTTTTTTGAAAAGAAAATACAACGTTTTTCAAAAAAAACACCGACCCTTGTAAGTAGTTAATAAACGTGTAACTTTATTACAAAATATATTTGCAGTTTTATTTTTACCTTACTCTATACATACATATAATAAAATTCTGAGTCGAATCTGTACATTAAATATTTTTTTGGAAAATCTTATTGAAATAGTCATTATCGATACAGAGGCAGAATCTATAGTTTTTAGATTTTTTGTCCGTCTATTTGGGAACGCATCACGAGAAAACACTGGACAGATTTTGATGAAATTTGGTATGATGATAGCTAGTTATCCGGGTCAACATATAGGATACTTTTTACCACGGGAAAATATCTCATCTCTGAGAAATCTATACTAACTTCAAAACGTAGAGACGAACGACGGAGCGATAGTGAGTCGCTAGTATAGTAATGTATATATCCCTTTTTTATCGTCCCACAGTTGGGGGTGGGCCCTTCAATTCGAGGGGGGTCAGACCATAGCCCAATAATAATCATAATATATAATTCAAAAAAGATATCCATTAAATGAAAATTTAGTTTTTTATATATTCTTTTAAAGTTATTTTGATTTATTGAAATAATAAACTCTAATAATAGCCAAAAAATTAAGAAATTTTAACTCCATACAATAGTCCAGAAAAGGTAAAGACAGAAAAATAAAATATACTTTTACAGAAAAATCACTTTCATTACATTTATTTCATAATATCTCATCAATGGTCACAGATTCTCAAACTTTGCACAGTTTAGTCCATGATTTCATTCAAACTTAATTAATAATAATTAAATAATATAAACATTAATATAAATCTAAGCAAAAATCATTAATCAAAACAAAAGTAAAAGCCTAAAAAATAATGGCTATTTTTATGATGATTGTTTTAAAAAATCTTAAATTTATTTATTCATTTTTGAAGAGAATTGCCTAAATAAAATTAAATTCTTACTCAAGACACATTTTTTAATGTTTACATATTACTTTTATTATTTATATTATTTATTTTAAAATATACATACATATATTTGATAAGTCACAATGAATTTATAGCGCAATTTTGTCATTTACTTAGAAACTATGCATTTTATTTTTCTAAAGAATTTACCCTTATTAGAAGTTAAGCAACAAAAAAACTAGAAAAAACACAAGACAACTTTAAAACAAGTTTAAATTATTTCAATTAACACTATGATACATAATTATAAAATTATTATCATTCTGACCTACAACCACTTTGTAAAGTTCTTTTTAGTTTCACAATTCAATTCACTCACTAGTTCCGTATTTTTGAGATCAAATTATCCTTTATCTTTACTTATATTATAAATACGTAAATCTATGTTTGTTCATTCGCTTCATTTACGCAGCAATATATATGTAAATAAAAAAATCTACATGATTTTACATACAGATATTATAAAGAGGTAAAATTTGTGAGTTTGTGACGTTGTAGGGAGTAATCTCTGGATCTACTGAACCTATTTAGATAAAATTTGGTAAGAAGATAGTTTACACCCTGAGAAGGATATAAGATACTTTTTATCCCAGAAATCATTCCTTAAGGGGGTGAAAATAGGGATGAAAGTTTGTATGTGAAATCAACCTAGTATATAGATAAGTTAACTAAACTGTAGTTTTACTAAACTACGGCTACGAGTGGCATTTTCAATTTGTTAAAGCAAAAAGCTTTTTTATGGAATAATAATAATTATCTACAAAATTCATTATTAAATTTTCAAAACAGGATTCATTTGATTTTTCATATATGGAAGATATCTGTAAATGTATATTTGTATAAAAATCGATGTTTGTACGTATTAATTTTCAGGCGATCTTCAGATGAGCCCAGTGGGTCATCCTGTGAAGTTTGGTAGCGATCGGAAGTTTGAATACGGGAGAAGCCGCGTGTACTGTTAGTGCTTCATATATGGAGGACAGATACAAAAAAGGTTAGGAAACTCTGACCTATAATTATTGTAGGAAAAAGGCATTTATTTGGATATTGAAATCACAGACGAACATTTTGATTTTATTATACATATATTTATACATATATTTTAAGGTCCCGCAGTAACTGTAAAGAATTCGTTTTGAATTCCCTGACGCCATTCAAACATGACAGGCGACTCTTCCTTGAAAGCATCGGACTTCGGCAGAGCTTCAGGTTGCGGCAGTTTTGGTTTTATCTAAAAGCAAAAGAAAATTATGGAATTATTATCACGCTATTATTTTTAACTAGCGACTCACCTGCGCTTGGCTCGGATTAGTCCCTAGGTTGATTCCCCATACAAACTTTCATCCCTATTTTCACCTCCTTAAGGGACGATTTCCGGGATAGAAAGTATCCTATGTCCTTACCAGAGTCTCAAACTATCTTGTTACCAAATTTCATCTAAATCAGTTCAGTAGTTTTGGAGCTTATTCGTTACAAACAAACAAAAAAACTTTCCTCTTTATAATATTAGTATAGATATAATGTCATCATGTTCAAAATGCTTATAAATTTCATATTTGCAGTGACCATTCCTTTAGCTTTCGACTACGCCACGCCACAGTCAGTCCCATCACATCCACCTTAGCGCTCTTATAATATAACTTGAGATGTATGAGTTTGACGTACGTGCACACGGCAGTGAATTGACTACACGACATGTCACAGTCTATTCCATCACATCCTCTCACATCATGACACATCACAGTCAGTAACATCACATCACACTCATCACATTCCCATCACAGTCAGTCCTGTCACATCACCCACCTTAGCGCTCCTATGCATCTTGAGGTGCACGAGCTTGACGTGCGTGCGCATGGCGGTGCGCTGCGCGAAGCTGCGGCCGCAGATGCCGCACTCGTACGGCTTCTCGCCGGTGTGGGTGCGCACGTGGTTCACTAGCGTGGACTTGGCCTGTATGTGTTTGAACGAATGAATGAATGATATGAAATTATATAATACTTTCTTAAATTTACGCGAATACTTGACATTTTAAATAAAACTATCTTTTCGGATATTTTTTTGCTGCGGGTTTATTTTGAGTTTTGATTCCCGACGTTTTGAACGCTTTACATTAATCATGGTTACGGGAGACACTCTCCCGTCTTCCCAAAATTATTTTCAATCAATTCAATTTAATGTCCAAACTTAATAATTTAATCAATGAAATTTTAGTAGAAAATTACTATATTCGTTAATTCTTGAATGTTTTCACAGATCTATTTAAACGAAAAATTCAAACTAATTATTTTAAAAATCAATGGGCAACCTTATTTTTTTTTAAATTGTGTTTTTTTATAAGCTACAAATTCTACCCCCAAGCTCAGTAAAAAAATATTTTTTTTCGCTCCGCCCTATTATGTTTTTAAAATTGATTTAATTAGACTTATACAAGCACAATTGGTAATTGAATTTTAAGAGTCTCATTGTCGTCTTTGAGAAATATACCACTGGTTTGGAAAACAAAATTTACACATATAATAAAATTGTAACTAAGCCGAATCTGTACATAAAATATTTTTTGGAAAATCTTATTGAAATAAACATTATCATCGATACAGAGGCCGAATCTATACTTTTCAGAATTTTTGTCTGTCTGTTTGTTTATCTGTAACCGTATCACAGAAAAACCACTGGACAGATTTTGATGAAATTGAAACAATACGATATTTGCTGCGGGAAAACATCTCATCTCTAAGAAATCTATATATACTATACGTTAAATAAAAATAAAACCCCACCATACCCTGAACATCTTCCCGCAGGTGTGGCAGACGTGCGCGGGCGGCGGGCGCGCGCGCGCGTGCACGGAGCGCGCGTGCTTGGCGAGCGACGCGCGCGACGCCAGCCGCGCGCCGCACGCGCCGCACGCGTGCTCGCGCACGCCCTCGTGCTGCACGCGCGCGTGCGCCGCCAGCAGCGCGCCCGTCTCGTACCGCTTGCCGCACGTGCTACACTCGAATCTGTCGGATGTTGCGACGATCAAAAAAGCACTAGATACACCATCGGCAACGCGCTTTTTTATCATTTACTTCGGGCAACATTTACAAAAAGATCTTAAATATGTAAACAGAGCCCCATATCATATATACCTTAAAAACTAACGCATATATTATAAACTTAAAAAACTATTTTAATTTTTGAAGTGAAACTTCTTTAGAATCGTTGTGATTTAAATCAAAAAAACGGAAATGCGATACGAGAAAGATATAAAAACATAAATATATAGGATCAAGCCGGCGAAAGAATGAAATAGAATATATGGCCACGTTGCCATGGTAACCGTTGTTGTTATATGATAGTAAAATGCCTAATATGTCTTATTTAATTATTACAGCCCTTTTTAATGTCCCACTGCTAGGAACGGGCCTCCCTTCAATACGAAAGGGATCAGGCCATAGTCCACCACGCTGGGCTAAGTGTGGGCGGACTGAGCATGTCTGCAGACAACTTGCTAGGTTCTCTCAGACAAGCAGGTTTCCTTACGATGTCTCCCGTCACCGTAAGACAAGACGTGGTGATCAAGTTACAAATGATACGTACCTGAAAATATCAGAGCGAGACCCGAGTTTTGAACCCGGTTCATTCAGTATCCCCCGCGTTACCACTATCTTTTTTTTAGTATAATACGTAAGTGCTAATTTGTATGTCGAGTACATAATATGTACTAAATACATTTTAACGATTAGTATGAAATAAATAGACTATATCTATATTAATACTATAAAGAGAAAAAAAATGTATTTTTGTTTGTAATACTTATATAATCTATACTTATTATTATCATTAATCGTTCGTAGTTCAACATTAAAGAAGATTGAATTGCTCAAAACTTAAAAAAAACTTACAAATGCAATAATGTCACAATGTACTAAAAATTAACCTTTAACCACCCCCTCCCTCTCTCTACCTCCCCCTCCGCCCCTCTCTCCCACTCTCTCTCTCCCTCTCTCTCTATATATCTCTCTCCCCCTCTCGCTCCCCCTCTCTCCCCCTCTCTCCTCTCTCTCCCCCTCTCTCTCTCCTCCTCTCTCTCTCTATTTCTTTTTTTATCTCAATGTGGAAGAGTTATTTATGTATAAATAGCTCTTGTAAGATATATTATTTTTAGTCGAGTAAATAATATAATTTCATGTACATAAAGAAGATAACAGTTAAAATACTCACTTGAGACTCTTCTTGTCTTTATGTTTGGAAGACCGCTTCAAATGCTGTCGCAGTGTGTGCGCTGATTTGAATCTAAACAAAAAAAGTTTTTTTATTTAAAAAAAGAACATCTAAATTAAAAAAAAAGTATTTTTTTCACACTTGGCAGTAAAATTTATTTTAAATATATTTATTCCCTTTTTACTATAATATTTCATATTAAATAAAATCTGACAAAACAGTATCTTTTTCTCCTCTGTCAAATGATTTTTTTTTGTGTTTAGTAGTCTCTTTCTTTCGTGTTAGCAATAAACAAATTTGGAAACAGTTTTTGAAATTATGCTTCTTTTGGCACGTTTGGAAAAAATATGAGTAAAATTTTTACACACATATTTTTTCACACCGACAGCCTAAAAGCGATATATATGTTAGCTGCATTCCTTTTACAAAAAGAGAGTTGTGACATACGGGACGAAATGTTCAGCTATTTTTGTTCTGTTACGCCAAATTACATCGTACATAAATACACACACACACACACACATTTTTTTATTTTTTTATTTTCTAAATATATGTATTGATGACATTTCTAATAAAAACAAAACAAACAAACGATGTCCTACTGAATAATTTCGGTCACGGCGGTCAATCTCACTGAGACTGACCAACTGCAGGAGATATTATAGTGCAGCGTGTGAGAGAGAGAGAGACACACACAACGTACACTCTCAGTCTCTCTCACTCCCACAGTTACTGAGCTATTACTGATAACAGTCCGGAATTGAGAAGTTAGCGGTGTTTCATTCTCTGACCTCTCACTGGCCGTGTCGAGTATGAGTGTCGTCGGAGTGTAAGACTGAGAGGGACAGTGAGTGCTCTCTCCCTTTCTACAGAAAGACTCAAAAACAAAAAATTATAGATATTCATGTAGGATTGGGAGATGACTGTCCGTGGAATAATATTTTAAGAATAAAAGAGGAGATATGTCTGAATTTTAAGAATGGAATGGAATGATATAGATGAATAAAAGAAAAGAAGGATGTTGTGTCATAATGACGACACGACGAGACGCGTGAACATTGTTATGTAATATTTTAAAAGAATAAATAGTTAATAGTGTTTAAACGCTTTTATTAGTATCCCCGGATCTACATTTATATGATTATTAATCATTTGTAAATTGCAAAAATTGGTTAAGCATAATTGTGCTGTAGACTTGGCCCGACCCGGAACTCGAACCCAGGACCTCCAAAATCGTAGTACATACTGGCCTCTACACCATATATATATATATATATATATATATATATATATATACAGACAGATATACATACATACCTAACGTCACATTCAACGCAGTAATAATCCTTCGAGTCGCTATGTTTCAGCATGTGGTATCTAATTTGATTCCTGGTCCGAAACTTTTTACCGCATTTTTCACATTCATAATTCTTGATTCCTTGGTGGATACTGAAAATGTGGACTGTATATTAGACGACACGTTTGGCTCAGTTCGCAGTGACCCGGGTTCGAATCCCGCTGGGGGCATTCATTTGTGATGAGCACGAATTTTTGTACTCCAATCATGGGTGTTTATATTTATAATATGTATGTATTTAAAGTTATATATGTGTAGTGTATCAACTATCTGGTATCCATAACACAAGTCTCGTGGAACTAGAAGGTGCTTTGTTTTAATGTCGCAATATATTTATATAAAAACTAGCGACTCGCTTCGCTCGGGTTCGTCCTTAGCTATAGAATAGATAAGATTATATATTATATAAATATGTACATAGGTATGATGAGTTCTTGTGGGTCGTATTATAACGTGTTTTCCCGTGGGAATGAGATAATATCCCGCGATAAGAAGAAGCCTATGTCACTCTCCAGCCCTCCAACTATCTCCACGATGTGAAAGAAGAACAAACAAACAAACAAACAAACAAACAAACAAACAAACAAACACTCACATTTATAATATTAGTATGAATATTTATTTGAATGTTATCTATACTAATATTATAAAGAGGCAGAGTTGGTTTGTTTGTTTATACGCGCTTATCTCAGGAACTACTAAACCGATTTGAAAAATTCTTTTTGCATTGGATAGCCCGTTTATTGAGGAAGGCTATAGGCTATAATATATCATTCCGGAAAAATGTACGGTTGCCGTGGATAATTTGTTTTCATCTATGGACGAACCCGAAGCGAAGCGATTAATGTACAGATATAACTGAACAAAAAACGATATTTTAGCTTTAAACACATAATTTCTACTTTTTTAATTTTCCTGTTTCTATAGCTAAAACAGAAAATAAAAAAAAATTAAAAAAAAATGTTAATCTCACAGCTGATGGTCAAAAAGCGAGTCTCTGTTGATGAAGCTCTTGCCGCATTCATCGCACTTCACCCTCGTGCCGGAATGGTGATTTCTCATATGACCTCGGTGTGTTTTATCGTTGCTAGAATGACAAAAAAAATGTGCTGAAAACTACATGGTTTTAGGATATTTCGATTTGCGGCCATTCAAAAATTACGTAAGAACCAAAAGAGGAAGAGAGCCTTTTGATGGCATGGGATCGGGAGAGGCGAGAGGGGGGCTTCTGGATAATATTATATAATATTTAATATAACATATATATATAATATTTAATATTTAACATAAAATAACAATATTTATTTAATTCAAAATATCAATGTTTTCAGAAAACACATGACACACTACTACATGTCTATGCGAAAAGCATTCAGGGATTCCCCGAAATAATTGAGTCGTAATGTAGGTAATGATTCTCTTGCAAACGTCAAAATATGTGGCATAAAAAGCCGAATCTTTTGATTGCGTTGTCTTAGAAGATTGATTTTTTCACAGCTCCAAAGGATTAGACAGATTTGAGTATTTGATATTAATTTCAACTTAATATCTCTACGCTTTTATGAGAAAAATGTGCTTGACAGACAGACAGGCAGACAGACAGACAAACAGGCGGATTTGACCTTATGAGGTACGGAAACCTATAAACATGTTAATGGATAATGATAGCGACCAGAGAGCCAAACATTCCACTTTATTTCATTTTTATTAAGCAGGTGTTTTTATTATAACAGTTACACGATTGAGCAATTGGTCCTTCGAGCCGGATTTGAACCAGCAACCTACATATATCCTTGCTTTGTATTCATATATTCTCATGTACGAATCATTTCCAATATGATCAGCATTTGTCTTACGGTGAAGGAAAACATCGTTCAGTCCACCCGCACTTGGCCAGCGTGATGGAGTATAGTGTGATCGTATTGTACTAAGGCCCACTCCCAGCAGTGGGAATGAAAGATAAGATAGAATGAATGTAAAACTTAGCTATGTTTTAACTAATTACGCTGTTGGTAATAAAAATTAAAAAAAATCAAAATCAACGAACATTCAATAAAATATGTTACACAATATATAGCAAAGTCTTATCAAAATGGATACAATTATAAAAAAGAAAACATCACTCACTTAGATACTTTCCCGCATATGTGGCACGTGAACACTGAAAGCACACCTTCATGTTGGGATCTGAAAAATATTTAATCTGTTTAAACAAAAATAACAAAGTATAAAAAGAAAATAAAATCTACTACACATCATTACATATCTATATAGACAAATAAAACTGAAGTGTCTGTGTGTAATGTCTAAATAACAGCCTTTTACTAAATACATATGAAATTATATACAGTACTTGAGAAAAACACGTTTTTTTTTAATTTTTGTCTGTCTGTCACATTAGTAGTATACATAAGTATCTGTCTATGTATGTTTGTCTGTCACTTACTGATAATTGTTGAGTATGGCGAACCAATCCAGCATACGGCGGCTGTATTGCACGCACTTGTACTGACAAGTGACGCACGTGAATATATATACTAATATTATATAGAAGAAAGATTTGATTTTTTGTTTGTTTGTACTGAATAGGCTCCGAAAGTACTGGACCGATTTCGATGAAATTTGGTAAAAAGATAGCTTGAGACTCTGGGAATAACATAGGAATAGTTTTTATCCTGGAAATCATCCCTTAAGGGGGTGAAAATGGGGATGAAAGTTTGCATGGGGAATCAATCGGGACGAACCCGAGCATATATATATTTATTTATTTATTTATTTAAATAAGTATGTTTATGTGTTATGCCTCTAAGTGTGTATCTATTTGTGCGTATCACTCACTGGTAGTGGTTGAACATGGCGAGCCGGTCGAGCATGCGGCGGCCGCACTGCACGCACTCGTAGCGGCGCGTGTGCGTGAGCGAGTGCACGGACGCGGAGTACGCGGTGGGGAGGTACATCGAGCATATGTGGCACTTGTACGGGCCTCGCGCCTGCCGAGTGCGGAGTGGGGGGAGGAGGGGGTACGGGGAGGTGACTTGTTAATAAGCCTAGTCCATTCGCGTTAAGATAATAATGATTCAACAAGTGCAACGGCAGATAAAGGTGTATACAAAGTGGGAGTCACTTTTTTCTTAACGCGAATGAACTATAGTTCACCCTTAGCTCATATCTGGTGACGATAATTATCACAAGTGCTAGGGCACCTTACAGAGTGGCATACTTATATGTACATGTTGGGTGCATGTATGTATACATTTTGATTACTTAAAAATTACCTGAGAATCATACAAAATACTAACGACTGTCTTACCAAGCCTATATGTTACTCCAGTTCATAGCCCATCTATATACTAAACTTCATACAAATCGGTTCAGCCGATTTAGCGCAAAGGAGAAACAAACATACACCTAACACTCACCATCCATAAAAACGTGGCGCAAAATGAATGCTGCACTGTTTAGTAGTAATAGCTAAGTGTTTGTACATATTTTGTGATATAAAAAAATCAACACATGTAATTATTTCTTCATTTATAAATAATTAATTCATTTTTAATTTAAAAGAAAAATACAGAATGTATCTTTGCAAAATCTCCGAAAGAAAAAAAAGTAAGTCAGACAAAAATAAAAAGGAATGTGAAAAAATAAAAAATTAAGTTAAAAAAGACACAGGTAACATTTCATTCTCAGAGCTTTTCATTCTTAATTTAATTACATACAGAAAAATGAGAAAAAAAAACCTTTCACCAAACACAAAACTACCCACTAAAAACGTTAAAAAAACTCACCGGGTTATGTTTAAACATGTGGTTACGCAATTTTACTTCAAAGTTAAACCCTTTATAACACAAATGGCATTGAAATGGAAACTTTAGTTTACTTTCATCCTGAAAAAAAAAACACTATTTAAAAAAATATACAAAAACACGTAAAAAAGAATTTGATGACATCACTAAAAAATCTTTTTCAGTATAGTTTAAAATGATATTCAAAGAAATCACAAAGAGTAGTTGTTTAAAAGAGATTGTATGATAAAGAAAAATTACATTTTTTTTTAAGAAAAATACAATTAAGATTTAGTTATTATTAAAATGAGTTTCGTTATCGCTGTTTGAGCTACAGACTAAAAAAGAAATATTTCGTCGTTGATACTGCAATACCGCGGAACCAACAGTGGTCAATACCGCGGAACTACAAAAATATCAAAAATGAGATTTCGCGCGTATAAGCTCTTAATAGTGGTTGGCTTCGCCCCGTGTCGTCAGATGAGCGCGTTATCCACTCAAAACGCTAGAAACGACACTAGCCAAAACCGCGAGAGCAGTTCTCACACGAGAGTGTAACTTTAATACCGCGTACCTGCGCCACATGTTATAGAACGCATGGTCGTTTTGTTTGCGGTTCGTGAATATGAATGTTATTTTGAAGAAATATTGGACTTGCGGGTAAGTAAATATTAAGTTTTGGTTGATAAATAAGTTAGTTATTCACTGAAAGTACTGGTATTTTCAAGATTATAATATTATTTAACTTTATTGATGACTTGGATTCGTTTCCGGAAAAAAAATTAGAGGGAGATGCAGCAAAAGCACCGTGAAACTTGGAGAAGAGAATTAAACAAGAAAATAGGATGTTAGGAAAAGTATATATTGAATTTAGAAAAGTTAATAATAAGTATGTTCAAAAACAATCAAAACCTCAGAGGGCTATGGGCCCTAAGTGCAGTTCGTCATTTTGTGTTCGTAGTAAAGTTCTATTTTGTTCCAAAATTCTGTAAAAAGTTACCTGAGCTTATTGCCCAAATTGCCGTCACATTATTGCCGCCAAACAAGCACAAAACAATACTTGGAACCTATAATACAATCCAAGTCACAGTTGTATAACTTATATGTCGAATATGCCTCGTCAGCATCTAATCTAGTAGCTTCGAGAAAGCTCTTTTTTGACATATTTGTGGAGCAAATATCGCCTTGTTTCTAGCTGAAAAAGATGCTTGTGACTATTGCTGTTCATACAAGGCAGGTAACTTTCGGAAGGAAGATTACCACCGCCACATCCAGCTGAAAAACTTAGTTCGATCCGAAAAGACAAAAGACAAAGAACTTGCAAAACTTGGGCAATATCATACCATAACTGCTGATTTGCAAGCTGTAAAACTATGTCCTTCTCTATCGGCTAGTGCATTATATTTTAAGACCAAGTTAGCGGTACATAGCTTCACTGTTTATAATCTAGGTACAGATGACGTTACGTGTTATTGGTTCAATGAAACAACCTGTGATCTAAAAACTACAACTTATGCTTCGTTTTTCGTAGATTATCTGACAAAGTTGTTAAATGAAAATCTTAAAGATGTAGTTATATGGACTGACGGATGCACTGCTCAAAACAGAAACACTGTTGTTTCTAACGCTCTTCTTAGACTAGCAATGGACAAAAATGTTACAATTACACAAAAATACCTTGAAAAAGGACTCACGCAAATGGAGGTAGATTCGGTCCATTCACTTATTGAAAGAAAACTCAAAAATATTGAAATTTTCTTGCCATCACAGTATGCTTCTTTGACTAAAGAGGCCAGAAAAAACCTTTTCCTTATAAAGTTATACAACCAGATCATAGCTTTTTCAAAGACTACAGCGTCAAAGAGTACCAAATTTATGACTCTATAAGGCATATCCTATTATAATTGATGTTACTAGATTTTGATATAGTTTAATTTTTGTTTCTGGAGTTCAATAATTTAAGTTTTTAATTTTGTTTCTACAGTTTATTCGTATGTTTTTTATTACGTGGCTGTGATCATTATTGGTCCTAAAGGTACTTGTTCTACTTCTAAAGTTAGTAAAAATGTAGTTCATAACGATTGACATTTTGAGACTGATGTATCTGAGATATAATAATTATTATTCATTAAGTAAACTTAAGTAATAAATGATCCTTATAATACATAATTTTTATTTTTATGCTTTTTGTAATTACGCGTAACTACTAAAAATGCTCAACTGCGACTCATTTTTGAACATGCAATAGCGAGAAAGTGTATTTTTTAATCGAATAGTGAATTTAACAACTTAAGAACCCTAATAGAATATAAAATACATAAATTTAAATACATTTTACAGTTCAGTCGGCCAAAGATGCAGTAATAATGAAAATATTAGGTTTTTTCTCTCTCCTGTAAAATTTATCACTACCAAGTTACGCGGTTTTAGCCACTGTTGGTTACGCGATATTGCAGTATCAACGACGATTTGTTAGTTTTTTTTAATTAAACTATCTTAAAAATAACAATAATTTCCACCTCTGCGGTGGAACTTTTCAACGTTATCGAAAAGGAATTAGAATTAAAGAGTATTAAATTAAAAAAAACCAAGACTTAAAAAACCTTTTAATAGATATAACGTATAAAAAAATCACGTTGACTTTTAAATTATTCAAATCGGTACAAACAAACAACATTTTATTTTTATTTATATACATAGATATAGTATTTCAATGCCACACCTGGGATTCCAGCGGGATTGAAAAAAAAAATACTCACTTCTCTTTGACGTAATTGTTCTGTTGGATCCAACTTAATAATTCTTATTTTAGTCTCATCTATATTTATTGGTTTTCTCAGAGTCCTCTTTGGTTCCGTAGCTTCTAATGCTGTGCTGGAAAAGAGCAAACTTTTATTTAAAAAAAATTTAAATGATAAAAAAATGAAAAAAAAAATCTGTCAAGAGCGAGTTGATTTCGCGGATTGAGATAATTTTTGATATGGAAAAAAAAATAAAAGAGATGATTAGGAGATGTCCAGGCGTGGTTTTCTATCAATACAATTTCTTACTTTCTTTCTGACAGTTAGTAAGTCAGTTAAACATATTTCGATGCACTCAAACATAAGTTTTTCTCAATCTAATCTAACTCTATACATATATATATGCGAAAGTTTGGATGGATGGATGTTTGTTACGCCAAAACAGCTGAACGGATCTAGATAAAATTTGGCACAGATATATATTATAGTCTGCAAATATACATACGCTACTTTTTATCCCCAAAAAATATACGGTTCCCGAGGGATTTGTTATTGTTTTTCACTAGGGACGAACCCGAGCAAAGCGAGAGTGAGCCGCTAATAAATCAGACATTTTCAAAGACCTTTCGAATTTTAATCCCTCCATGACCGCGGACACGCCAGCGTGTCAGTTAACAATAGATTTCTTAGAATTTCAATTAATTTCTTAGAAATTTACCTGGAGTGTTAAGAGAAATCATTTTTGTCCATACATTTTTTCGTACTTGAAATAAATAAACCTATAGGAAATTACTTAAAATTTACGCAAATGAGACAAAAATAGAAGATCACTGTTTAAAAAATATTTATACATTGAAAGAAATAATTATGTTTGTAAAATAAAACATTTTTTATACCGAAGTCAAAACAAGTTGTTTTAATTATTTGTTAAAAATATGTACAATCATTATTGATTTATATTTTTTTATATCAATATATATAAAAAAAATCTTTTATATATATAATTATATATATATATATATATATATATATATATATATATATATATATATATATATATATATATATATATATGGAACGTTCCAAGAATATTATTCCAAGGGGTTCTTGTTTCACATTTTTATCGCTTTTGTACAACCACAGATCATATAATACTATACTAGGTACAACACAATATTATAATTGGAATAAGTAACCAACATCCATAGAAAAAGCAGACATGTTGTTAGCTTTTTGATAAAACGCATGGGATATTCACAAAAAAACAGCCTTCTATATTATGGTGGTTATGGTTAAAATCTAGTTAACTTACTCTACATCAGTCTTTTGCCCATCAACAACTTCCTTCTTAATCTTTACCTTCTTCTTAACTTTCTTCTTTTTCTCCTTCTTGTCTTTCTTCTCTTCATCAAATAACTCTTCTGATTCTTTTAATTTTTTTGTCCTGGAAATAAAATTTGTTATTAAATTACTATTTGTAGAAAATCAATTATAATAAAACAGATAGTTTAACAGCGTTTATTGCCCGGTAATACTTTTTACAGTGGATCATAACATTTTTAAATAGAAAAATAAATTTAAAAAAAAGCAGTCATGAGGACTGCCGAGAGAAGTGAAAATTAGAACTATAAACAAACAGTTGTTATTTTTGGATATTTAAATTAATTGTTTGATCTTAAATTGAAATTTGTAAATTAAAACTGTTTACATTTGTCTGGTTTCGACATCTATCCGCACTCTGAGTGTTAGCCTTAGCACGTCACGTGACCATGTCGATGACGACTCACATAAATTTACTCCCCCAAACAAACCTGCCTATACAAGTTTTCACTTCAAAAAAAGTAGTCAGACAACGCTCGCCACAAGTTAACAAAGAGATGGGAACTGTTCATTTAGAAAATTACAATTAAATATTTTATATTTACTATTACAACACTATTATGATAATGAAAGTTTGTATGTGTGTTTGTTTGTCTCTCCTTCACTCTGTAACGGCTGGACAGATTTGTATGAAATTCAGTACACAGAGAGACTATGAGCTGGAGTAATATATAGGATATTGTCAGGCATCTAGGGAAGGATTCGAACGAATCGAAGTAAAGCCGCTTTTTTTCAAAATATATTTTTTGTACCTAAAAGCAAAATCCTGTCACATCCTAAAAAAATCAATTTAAATGTCAAATATCTAAGAGAGCAGAATGTTTTCAAAATCATTCAAGTATTGTTTTTTTTTTATATTTTCACGACCTTCCTGTATAGTTATGCTATAGCATTTTATTAAATGCAAAAATATTTTTTTCCAAATGTTACTAGAAGTTACACAGATTATTGAGATCCAACAAACAAACAAACAAACAAACAAACAAACAGGCAAACAAACAAAACAACCTCCTTAGTTTAACAGCGTTAATATAAATTTTATAAGATTAACAACGATTGATACGTAATTCATCTCTTTTTAACTGCTGGGGGTGGGCCTCCCTTCAATACAAGGGGGATTTGGCCATAGTCCACCACGCTGGCCAAGTGTGAGCGGACTGCTGACTGCTGCAGACAACTTGCTAGGTTCTCTCAAACATGCAGGTTTTCTCACGATGTTTTCCTTCACCGTTAAGACAAGTGGTGATCATGTTAGAAATGACTCCCACACGAGAATATCAGAGAGAGACGCGGGATTCGAACCCACTTCACTCAGTTTCGCAAGGAAGGGCGTTACCACTAGGTAGGTTGATATAGATTTTATTAATATTTCAAACCATCGATCAAAAAAGTACTAGATACGCAATCAGCGACAAATAATGTGCTCACCGAATGAGCGCTCATTTAAATATTTGAGCGCGCTTTTGTTTATATATTTTTTTTGTGAAATAACTTTAAGCATTGCATTTAAGGTTCAATTTACATTGTTGTATATTTATTTCAACTACAATAATAACCTAAACACAATCGGTGACAGTTTTAAGAGAACTTTTGCATGGGATTGTGTATCTAGTACTTTTTTGTTAGTTGTGTTAATAGATGTTTCAAACTAACTTAATCTCAAATAAGGGTATATTGTCATCACATTCAAAAACTTCGTCCTTTACAGAAAAATTGTCTTCGAAAAAATTCTGCACGTCTGTTATAGGTAGCTCATCTAATTTCGATGCAGAATATTGTTTTTCATGCTGAAAATATAAGAATAATAATGTCTAATTAATATTATAAATGCGAAAAATTGGATGTATGGATGTTTGTTACTCAATTAAGCCAGAACGGCTAAACAGATCTGGATGAAATTTGGCACAGAGATAGATTAGTCTGGAATAGCACATAGGTTACTTTTTATCCCGAAAAAATGTACGGTTCCCGTGGCATAGATTTCTTTTTGTTTTTACAGGAACGAATTGACTATCTATTCCGCACTAACCGTTAAAGCTGTACTGAGGGATAGACCCAAGCGAAGCCCAGATGGTAATTCGCTAGTATTTTTATAAGACTTAACGCTTAATATGTAGATCTGTGGGGATCTATGACTTATAGTAGGGGAGCCCAAGAGGGGATTTTCTGTAGTTACTCGAGCGCGGCAGATTAACATAAAAGAGGTTACCTTGCACTCTATTGAGTACTTTCACCATAATATAAGTCTTCTATATAAAGGGGCGCGTCTAGGGAAGCCGATTAAAATATTTAAAAAATGTTTTGATAAGGTAGAAATACTTGAAACCGTCAGATTAAGGTGTGGTAGGCTAGTCACATCCTGAAATGTGTCAATTCAATAATCTGCCGATTTGCACAAGCCGAAGAGGCAAAAATCGACTATAAAGTTTATGATAAAAAACAACTAAAAAAAGCAGATACTCAAAATGTATATGTTGCAGTCAGAACTCTTTCATGGTTTAATCTCTTTATTAGAAACAAATGTTTGTTTTATGGTTCTGTAAGTGAAGTTTTAAGTACCTACATATTCACTGGAGTTCGCCGAGTGGTCGAACTTTTTATTTATAAAACTAAACCTCGTCAATAGATTAAATTAGTTAAACAATACATAATTCTCAATTTGACCACGGACTTTAACAATAACAAAAGAGAATATGTGTATGTATCAAATACATGGTAGTGTGTATAATGTTTTTTTATTGATTTAATGTATTTTTTTTTAAATAAACTCACCTCCAAAACCTTATGATAGCCAACTTTACTTTTACTTGTATCAAGCACAAGTATACTTGATTGTGTCAAATGTGGACTCTTATACTTAGTAAGTTCGGGATCTTGGCCATCTATTGGAAACTATGAAAAATAATATTAAAATAATCATAAAAATGTAAATTTAAATTGAATTTTATATGAAAATAAATAGTTTTAACATAACATATTCTATGTTTTTTATGTCCAAACAACCAATTTACCAAAAGAGTGTTTACGAAATAATATTGAATCAAGTCAATTTTGTATGTATTCAATACATATTTTCCTCTAGAAAAGACAAAAAAAATATTTATCTATATGTATATGTACATAAATCTTAGAAATAATGTTTTATTTTTGAAATAGAGGAAAAATACTCTCTCCTGTAAAATACAAGTATTGGTTATTTTAACAAATAGGTGCTAAGGCTGTAAGATGATTTATTAACTTTTAAAATGGCTTTTTTCTAATAAATAAATATAATGATTGGTTTTTTATTACAACAAAGTGTTTTAATGATTACTCTAAATAGCAAAATAATGTAGTATACAATGCTAATATAAATAAAACTTTATCCAATTACCACAGAAACCTAATCAATCTAAAAAACTTATAAATGTTTCACATTCTAAAGTACTTACCGGAGCACATCTAGTATGATAATCATATAGCAAGGCATGGGCTCTGAGGACTTTGTGTTTGAATCTTACACTTTTGAGCAGTATTGCACTACATTCGTAACATATCCATTGAGGAAGCCCATCAGAATCTGAAACCTGACATAAAATAATAAAATTAACTATTGTTATCTTTATGTATATATTGTGTGTATAATGTGTGTAATTATGTATGTATTCAGCGCTTTTTAGCATCCTACTACTGGGTGTGGGCCTCCCTTCAATACAAGCGGGATCAGGCCATAGTCCACCACACTAGCTAAATGCGAGTTGGTGGGCTTCACACGTCTTTCAAAAACTGGCAAGGTTCATGCGAGACTCGGGAGTTACCACTGGGCTACCCCTGCCTATCTCACTGCTTATCTTTCTATATTCTAAACTTATTTGGATAAAACACAAAAGGCTAACTACGATGACTCGTAAAAAATTTTTAAGAAGTTAAAAACACCTCGTGTAAATAATAAATATCGGCTTTTTGTAATAAATTCAAAAGACTTTCTATTGTGTATATATGATTTTATAAGAAATGTACATATAGTTAAATTAAGGTAGTAGTAAATAGAAGATGAACAAATTAAGTAAAGTATATATAAAATCAGATTACTTACAATAATATCGGCTAAATCAATAAAAAGGTCACGAAAGAAATCAATTTTCGTCATACGTCTGTTTGTTGATAAACAACATCGACAAATATTTTGTGTCGAATCAAAGTCCAGTTTTTGATCATTTTCTTGAAATAATGTGTCCATTTTTCAATTATATTCTATTCAAACATTAAATATTTTGAATTAAATAACTCATATTTAATGTAAACAGTATGCCAGACGCCAGTATGGCGTCTGCCTTCTGCTTCTTTGACAAACGTGATTCTGACAGTGACATAAGATTGATAAGAATATTTTAGGGCTCATTCACACTTACAACACATTCAATGATGTAATTAAAGTTTCCAGTTTTATTTATATACTGTGTATCAAAAAAATCGCGTATTTGAAATTTTAACAAGTAAGTTTACCAATATTATATAAAATAAATTGATATAACATAACGGACGAGTGTCAGTTCTGAGGCACACGTTTTATGCGTAATAGCCGGAATACATTCAAGGCCCCTGGACTTATGATATCATGCTTAACGATATGTATGACATCCTGTTGCGTGACAACACGTTGGCTCAGTTTGTAGCGACCCCTCTTCTTGTGCCAGCGATCGCGGGTTCGAGTCCCGCTGGGGGCATTCATTTGTGTGATGAACTCGAATATTTGTATTCCGGTCATGGGTGTTTATATTTATAATAATGTGTATGTATTTAAAGTTATAATATATGTGTAGGGTATCAACTATCTGGTAATCATAGCACAAGCCTCGTAGCTTACCATGGAACTAGATGGTGCTGTGTGTTAATGTCCCAATATATTTATTTATTTTTATTTTTATTTACCATGTAAGACGAACTACACTTTCTGTTTGATCATGACCCATCATCATGATCTTTCAAGTGATTTTTGGCATTTTAATTTCTCTGCGAGATAAAAAATAACAAAGAGTAAATGCGTTCCTCTTTGCAGAATACACCGGATTGCCATTCAGATCGAGGTATGTATGTTTAAAGTGTTAGAGATTCCTTTGAAGAATATAAGGTGTCTGTATAAGGACACTCCTCCCTTCATGTGCCATGTTTAATGGCCTCATTGGATTGCGTTCAATGAGTCTGAACACATTACAAGCGTATTTTTTTATTTTATAAAACTATAATCTATACTAATGTCATATAGAGCCAGTTTGTTTATTTGTTTGTTTGAACACGCTAATCTCAGAAACTACTAATCCGATTTAAAAAAATATTTTTATATTAATTAGATAGCCCATTCATTGGGGAAGGCTTGCTATATATCATATAATATATAATCTATTTATTTCATACTTACCATTAATGTAAATAAAAGAAAAAAAATCTAGCAAAACTGGATATATTTTTATTCATAATATTGATTATAAATTCGATACAAAATAAATCTTCTACAAGCTTAACATATAAGTATATTTTTAGTCTGACTTTACCAATTACTATTCGTAGAATAAAAAATATATTTTGTATTTAAATTAAATTAATTCATTGTATCTTTATCATTTGCTATGTTCACATGCTAAAACATATATAGGTGGTGGCGATAACACGAAAACTGGCGCATCTAGAAAGAGAGAGAGAGTGGTGAATTAAAAACTTATAGCACATCATGATATTACAAAGAATAGATAAAACATTTTTTTTATACAGCTTTGACAATAATAATACACATTCGTCATTCTTCGCTCTTAAAAATCCCTTTAAAGTCAATTCAACTAGTTTGGACACTTTTGAAATGTTTTTGTTACGTGCAAATCCACCCAGCAGAGTGGAGCGAGGGTGAGTCGCTAGTAACCCTATACTAGCCTAACTTTAAAATTATAAATAAATAATAAAATTTTAGTTATAAATATATAATTTTGTACTTTTAGAATATATTTATATTTTATTAAATTCAAAATTATACCATACCTAAGTGTTTAAGACTATCCATAGAGTTGCTCTGTTGGCCGGTGGTGTTACTGAAACGATTATAAGAGATTCAAGATCATGAACAATTTTTCAAATGGTTTTTTTATATTATATTAATAAGAACCCACCAAATTTGGCTATGAAAAAAAATGATCCATTACAAAAATTAATATTACAAAAACGTTACAAATAAAATTAATATCACAACGTTACAATAAATATTAATAGCCTAAAAAAAATTTTTTTTTTTACTTTTTGATTACTAACCTTTGGTCGTTCGAATTGATATTACTTAACGACTTCGATAAAGTACTACTTTGCACAGGTCCGTTTTGTAAATCGGCAAGAGAGCAAGCCTGTCTCAACCTCGCTACCAATTTATGCTGTATTTGACAGCTACACAAGTTACCTTCAGTTGTCTGTGGCACTGTCAATTCATTTTGACATCTACATTTCCCGCCATTATTAATTTGACGTTGTGTCATATTGGTAATTGAATTTTTGTGCCGATTGATATTCGGATCTGAAGCGAACTTTTCGTTATTTAAAGAATTTTGTATTGCTTTCCTGTTTCTTTGCATCACTGATAATTGATATTGGCCCTTTCGACTTGAAGATGGAGATATATTTGGAGATCGTGTTGGCGAGGTGTGGGCTGAGGTAGCTTTTGTATTTTTCAATGTATTCTTTAATTCGTATTCTGTGGCTATTGCTTCGAAGACCTAAAATATTGAATTTATTAATAATAATAATTAAATAAATAGATATAATTAATATATTATTACATTTAATACATTATATATTCGTTTCAATTTCAGTACATATATCATAGATCATTAAAAATAACTTTTGATCGATAACGTACATCGGGTGCAGCGAAAACAAAAAAAAATTTCTTAGCTTGAGGGTAGAATTTTTATCTTACAAATAAAATCATAATAAAATAAAAAAAAACACTCAACATTTTGAGGTTGCCCACTGATTTTTAAAATAACTAATTTAAATTTTTGGTCTTAATGATTTTTTTTCGAGTGATCTTTGAAAACGTTTTTATTTTTTCATACATACATGTTACTTAGGTAGATGTTAAATACTACGTGATTGTACTATATATGAAAAACTCCCCAAAATTTCTTTATAATCAAATCAATAGTTTATGCAATACAAACTACAAACAAACATAATATATACATTTATAAATAGATATACGATACCTGTTCAGCGACTAAATTTCTAGCGTAAGGTGAATCTTTAGCGGGCAACGACTCTCTACACAAGGCACATCTCTGCAGTCTGCTCCAACAACCTGCCATTAATGTTGTTATTAATATTTTTATATATTTATGTTTTAAGTTAAATAAAACTATCTTTTCGGCCTGATGTTTCGAATGCTTTACAGCAATCATGGTCACGGGAGAGACTAAGAATTCAACTCAAGACAAGAAAGAATTCACAACGTCGGGAATCAAAAATCAAAATAAATCCAAAAAAATCCAAAAAGGATAGTTTTATTTAACATTTCAATATTCGGCTATATTTAAGAAAGTATTATTTAATGTTAAGTTATAGTTGTATATTAAAATTAATAATCTATATGTACAGTGTAAATAAAACTCTTTTTAACTAAAAAACCTTTGCCTCACCAATAACCATGTGTGCTGTAAAGGTTTATGCCCACTACACCATCTCATGCCATGACCGTGCTAGAACCGTGTCAGGCAAAGAAATATTCTTTGTATTAAAAAGAATGACTCTGCCCACTAGACCGTTCCGTCACCGACCGGCACCGTCGCGTGCTGTGCACGGAGCGGTAACAATTGTCAGCGAGAATATTTTGCCGATGCAGGTACGCTCCGTGCCTGGCACGCGACGTTGCGAGACCGGTGCGCGCAGGCAGCGCAATGGTGAGCATACGCAGCACTAAAAACGTACCATGCTCATTTCCGTGCCTGATACGTTTATAGCACGGTCATGGTAAGAGACGGTGTAGTGGGCAGATTCTTTAAAGCATTCAAGATACCAGCAAAAAAAAGATTAAACCAAACCTTCGAAAAGATCCGAAAAATTAAAATTAACTTTAAAAAAATACCAATAATTATTTGAAAATCGTTCTCAATCAAAATTTCTTTAATTTATAAACAACTGAACCTATGTACTTGTATATATGTATTATTATTGATTATTTATAACCTACCTTCACAATACAAATGTGACCGTGCACAGTTAAGCGCCTTAGTCGCGGTGGCGGCGCATACGCAACACGATAACGCTTTCACCACGCCCGCTAGAGCTCGTCTCGAGCGTTCCCCACGGGAACCCCCGCCGCAACTCCATAGCAACTGGGGAGATTGCTCTTATAATCAGACTAGTATTGTAAATGCGAAAGTTTATGTGTGTTTGTTACTATTTCACGCTCAAATAGTAAGATAGAAGGGTTTTGCTTCACAGAGAACAGAAAGAATAATATATATAATAAACTAATTATTAATTATAATATGTAATTAGTACACTTGGCCGGTGTAGAAACAAAAACAAACTGAAATAATAATATAATATGAATAAATAATAGATTAAGACTATAATGCAAAGTTAGAAATATAAACATACCTCAGGATCATCGCTTGGATCGACCCCACAGTTCCACACCAGTAAAGAGACGCCATGTCCCTCTCCGTCGCCTCTTATCAAACCCGCTACCTTACCGATCTGAAAATTTATATACCAAATACGTATTAGCGTAATTTTTAAGTTTTCGTACTTGAAAAGGAAAAAATGAATCCTTATAGGATTATTTCGGTGTCCGTTCGTCTGTCTGTCTGTCTGTCAGGACCCTTTTTCTCAGGAACGCGTAGAGATATTAAGCTAAAATTAATATCGAATACTCAAGTCCGCAATTCCTTGGAACTGTCAAATTCTTAAACTTTTAAGTCAACGCAATCAAAAGATATCGCCGTTTATGCTGCGAATTTTTACTTCACTCTGAAATGTCAGGACGGATGAAATTTAGTACACAGATAGAGTATGTCCTGCAACACGTTAGCCGCGTATTTATTATGCACGAGGTACGCCACCGAACAAATCGAAACTATCTTAAGTAAATAAAAATATTGAATGTTTTATGTGAACTATCATGGGTTTTGTCTAGCAGGTAAGCCTGAAAAAATATATACAGCGTTATCCAGGACGTTAGTATTAAATAAAGTAACTCACCGTTAACCCCAACAGGTCTTTACCATCCGCTTGCAATAAACAGTCCCCTGTCTTAAGTCCGGCGATGTCTGCTCTCGATTCTGGAGTCACTTCGTGGATCTAGAAAAAAATTATTATAGTTTAAAAAAACATTTTTTATTTCATCATAGTGATATGCAAGATGCTAATAAACACGTAATACTCTCTAATGTTTAAGCAAAATTTGATATTGTAATAAAACAATTTTTAAGAATTTTTCGTGATTTTTTAAATTAGGTTCCCAATATTTTGGATGCTTTACACAGGGTTCAAGAAAACCGTTCAATTTTTAAATAGGTTTTCGTCATTGATCCCAAACCTTTTAAGGTTTTCGGTTTATGGTTTCGATTACGTTCTTTAATCGGTTAATTTCCGGAGAACGTTTTTTGACGAATTTAGGATACATGATCAAAATTAACCGGTTAAAATGAGTTTTTGTGCGTTTACCTTTGACGAATCTTTGCTAATAGTGAATTGTTTATTATATAAAATTCTTACTTATGTATTTACCCATTATGATTCCGGTTTACTAAACCGTTCATTTTCATTAACCGGTTAAAGAACGAGCGACGAATTAACCATTACATTACCAAAATAAACTTTTTTTTAAACCGATTCCGAGCCCTGACTTTACAACAACTATGGTTAGAGGAGATTATTAAGTAAAAATTGTAAGGTGTTACAATCATGTCATCTCCCTCTTTTTCCAAATTATAGTATAATTTTGTGGGTAAATGTCTATATTTACGATAACTGTAACGTCCAACACATTAGTTTCTCCCATAACTATGTTTCCTGTAAAACATTGGAAATGTTGGTAATCAAAAACCGTGTTAAACATAAACTGAAACGTACCCATGGATATGGATCCCACAATGTTCTTGTGAGTCTGAATCCCAAACCTTCCCCTTCATCCTCTGGCAGGTTTAACTGAGAAATGGTAAATCAATAATTAAAACAACAAGGTACACCAACTTGAAATCACTCCAAAAGTAATAAATTAATATTTTTATTCATATGAAACTTGCGGTAAATATTTCCTATTAATAAAAGAATAATGAAAATCGGCGTAGCTTAAGCATTACATAAGAAAATATACACCTAAATTGAGTACTTCTTATTTGAAGTTGGTAAAAAATGAAACTTCTGACACAAAATCATAATGTCCTACTGTCCGATTTCGACAAGACTAGTCGTAGTATATAGCGTAGAGGATATTATAGCGTAAAGGAGAACGCACATGCACTCTCTTTTCCTTTCACTCTCAAAGTACAACGTAAATTGAACACGACTTTTGAGAAATCAGACCCACGACTGACAAAACGTGCTTTTCAAGGCACGGGGGTGAAACACCGTCAAATTTAGAACTCCAAAAACAACTATACTTGTCCCAACTCAAGACTCGTACCCAGGACCTCCGGATCTGTAGCCGTATATGCTATTTATTAGATCACCGAGACAGCTAAACACAATTACTTACAACAACAAGACGGACCCCAGCTGTAAACTCTTGTTCTGGGTCTGCATGACATAATTCTTGTGTATCCATTGCTTAGGTGTATCTGAAAAATATTTTTATCTGTATTAAAATATTTGACATCAGCTCGCTCGCATCTTCAATAAATATTTAGGGCCAATCTACACTTTGGTGTCGATCACAGTCCGTTTTTGGCCCGATATCGGTCTGGTAATTTTTTTTAACACAAGAAAGGTTGCTGGAGCGTGATTCGACCAGAACGTGAGTCTTATTGATAGTGTGAATGTACTCATTGTTTCTTATATAACAATATTTTACCAAACCGATATCGGACCGAGACCAAACCGTGGTCTACTATAGTGTGGACCGGTGCTTATAGTTTTTAAAATCGAACAAGTGAGAGTCTGACTAACACCGAGGATTCCGAATCACTAATATTGAATATTTTTTATCATTGAATATTTTTGTGTTAATAGTCAGATCTGCAATCCCTTGGAGCTGTAAAAAAATCAAACTTCTAAGTCAACACAATCAAAAGATACGGCCATATTCGCATATTTTGACATTCGCAATGAAATCGAAACCTATAGGGTACTTCCCGTTGACCTAGAACCATGACATTTTGCAGGAATGTCCTTGTATATAATGTTTTCTCTTTGCAAGAACGCCTCACAAGTAAAGGAAAAAATCCGAAAACACTAAATTTGTAGTTACATCACAAAAAAAAATGCAATTGTAAACTTATTTTAATGTTTCGTGCTACGGAACCCTTAGTGTGCGAGTCAGACTCGTACTTGTCAGTTTTTCTAGTATTCCGTAAGTATGATGAGTCTGAGCGGAACGAGTTAGATAATTTAGAAAGCATATATTATACTCGTATATTTGGACGCTGATTTTGTAAGATTTATTTATTTGTTCATGCGTCATCACGTAAATTTTTAAATACTTATATATAACTGCAACGTTTTTTTAACATTAAGTTTTTATTTACCGATTTCAAAAAATATTTTTTCGATTGTATGTAAATATCTATAATAATAATACATATGTTGGGTCATTAACACACAGCACCATCTAGTTCCATTGTAAGCTACGAGGCCTGTGTTATGGATACCAGTTGATAACCTACACATATATAACTTTAAATACATACATATTATAAATATAAACACCCATGTCTGGAGTACAAACATTCGTGCTCATCACACAAATAAATACCCCCAGCAGGACTCGAATCCGCGACAGTTGGCACAGCAAGTAGGGTCACTACAAACTGAGCCCAACATTTCGTTAATGTATGTTCGTTACGTGTATCTTTGCAAATTGTGAAACAATTTTTATTATTTAACAAGTATTTTTTTGCATTTTATACCTTACTAGGTTTTGCTATGTCTCTCGCGTGATAAAAAGGACGAAAATCAAGGATAGCCTATATCCGATCCCAAGATTCATGTCCTTGCCAAATTTTATCGAAATCTGTTCATCAGTTTAAGCGTGAAAAATTAACCGACAGAGTTACTATCACATATTTAAAAAAACTATAGATATTATTGAGGAGGCTGTCTACGTGGGCGTGGGTAGAATTATTTTACTTTTGGACTTAAATAATTTTATCTTATATATATTACTTATATTATTGTTATTACTAATCATAGAGAGGCATAGTTTATTTGTTTGAATGCGCTAATCTCAAGGACTACTAATCCGATTTAAAAAAATTGTTTGCAATAGATAGCCCCTTTATCGAGGAAGGCTAATATAATATATCATCTTGCTACTACCCAAGGGAGCGGAGCAGTATTGATTAAGCGGGTGAAACCGCAGGGCAGAGCTAGTTTATTATATAATTATTAATTATTTCCCAACTTTCCGGGTAACTTTTCCAATTCTTCCCATAAACCTTATTGAAAATGATAAAAAATCAATTTAAGAAACAAATAAGCAAAATCGGTCCAGCATTTCTTCGTTAATGGATTTATCGACGGACAGTCTTTCAATTTTATTTGTATATATATATTATGTATGTGTATGTATATAGTAATTTAGACTCTATTTGGACGAACTTTAAGCTATATGAAGAATCAAAACAAAGTCACGATATAATTTACATAAAATAATAATAGCCAAGGTCAAAACATTGAACACGTTCAATATATATATAAAAAAAATGAATATATCAATGAGTTATGAATTATGATGTATTTCGAAAATAGTTGGATAATGTACAGATAACAATAATACAATATACATTTATACATATAGCTAACGTTTGCCTGAGCTTCTGTCTGCATATTTATGTATTTACTAGTACGTAGTAGTAGTAGATACGTTTTAACGATAAATATGGATATCCCACGGGAACCGTATATTTTTCCGGGATAAAAAGTAACCTATATGCTATTTGACACTAAAATCTATCTCTGTGTCCAAATTTCATCCAGATCCGTTCAGTCGTTCTGGCGTGATTGGGTAACAAACATCGATGCATCCAAACATTCGCATTTATAATATTTATTATGGGATATTACTAAAAATGCTTTCTTAACTAATTTTAACACCCATAAAGAGCCTCAATGCTAATTTTTCTTGCTTTTAAAGTAACGACAGTTCTAATGTCACATCATCCCCTATTTATCATCCCCATTGGATATACCTACTGCTTAAAACTTTTGAACAATATTAGTCGCCTTTTTAATCAGAAGGATTTACACTATTGGTCACGGTAACTTTAAAAATAACAAATTTGCGAAGATATCTCGGGACATACATACAAAAACATACATACACAAGAATTATATACTTCGATTTTTTGGAGTCGGTTAATAATAGATATTATGTATATACTTTACCAGTTAAAATATTTTTAAATATTATTAAGATGTTCACAAAACACAATTTATCAAAAACGAACGTTTAAAAAAGTCAATAATTCCAACCTTCTACTCTCCCAAATTCATTAAAACTGATGTCGAACTCGATGATTGGTAAATATTGTACCATAGTGATGTGATCGGAATGTTTATGTATCGATATCGATATTGTTAGATTTTTGAAGTGAAAACTTGTATAGGCAGGTTTGTTTGGATGGGGAGGGAGTCAATTCATGTAAGTCGTCATCGACATGGTCACGTGACGTGTTAACGCTAACACTGTAAGTGCTGATAGATGTCAAAACCAGACAAATGTAAACAGTTTTAATTTACATATTTTTATGTATTTAAGATCAAACAAATAATTTGAATATCCAAAAACAATTGTTTGTTTATAGTTTTAAGTTTTCACTTCTGTCGGCAGTCCTCGTGATTGCTTCTTTTTATTAAAGTAGCAATTGGATTAAAACGCGCATGTTTAGGGTTCCTTAGTCGAATTGAATACTCAAACCTCGTACGGTTAGTCTGTCATATAATTGGAGCCAGTGACACTAATTTACTAGCAATACTGGGTAGTATTTATCGCCTGGATTTTTTGATCTATACTGTTAAAGTAACTTTCATCAAGTTAGTAGTTCTACTGATTGAGAATTTTAGAATTTGCTTCATACATTTTCTTTGAATAAAAGAAAAAGATAAATAAAGAAAGATATAATATGACAGGGATAAAATGTTAGTTATATGGAATACCTACCTTTAATTGAAAATGTTAAATGATACACATGTTTCAAAGTGAAAATTCAGATTGTTGTCTTATTTCAAACCAAGAACCTCCTAGTAATAAAAATACTATATTATAACAATAAACTACAAATCAACTATCAATAATTTACCTACTCATCTATTTAATCAATGTCGCCGAACACCAAACGGTTATAACTTAATGTGACTACAGATAAGCCATTCTGCAATAGGTACGTAGTCTATTGTCTAAACTTAGGTAGCAGTTTTGTTAAACGTAGCACAACGGCAATCCAGCAGCTGTTTTTAATAACGAATATGTTTCGTAAATTAACTAACGGTTTTTTAAATCAGCTGATTCGGTAATCCATCTGCGGCAGATACAGAAAAAGCTTCAGACCTGAGAAAAACTGGCGAAAGAAACTCAGCGGGACTAAATTTTTTTGATAGATAGATTTTTAATCTTTATTGTAGCAAAATTATAAATTACAATAATTATACAAAAAATAAAGTAGCCAAAAGGCGATCACATCATTCCCAAAGGCATCATCTATGTCATAGCGATATTTATGTATTTATTTATTTATTTAATATCAACAAGAAATACACTACAAAAGCGAATTTTTAAATTTTTATTATTGATTTAATCACATGGTGTTACACACATTTCAAAAAAGAGAGACACAAATACAAGTATTGAATCAATAAATTAAATCTGAAATTAATATGTACTAGCGACTTACCCGTGCTTCCCTCGGATGCGTCCCTAGGTACGTTTGAATGTTTTTGAGCGGAACCATTATTCTTTTTCTAAAATAAAAGTTGTCTAAGTTACTCCTTATAACATTAGCTATCGGCCAGTGAAAGTCCCGTAAAAATTAGTCTCAAAGTTTCGAAGATTAGCCGAAACATACGGACAGACATAAATTTTTAAAATTGTTTTTTTCTTATAAGTACACTATATAATATAATACGCATTTAGTAAAAAGCTGTTATTTTGACATTACAAACAGACACTTCAATTTTATTTATCTGTATAGATTATATAATAAAATCCTATCACATATTTTGTCCCATCACTACAAAACCTGGTGACCTTAAGCCACGGCCGCGCTGACCTACTGCCGTCTTCCACACACCTCTCACGTACCGTCGCTTAATACACATCTATTGATATTGAGATCATATGAGATAGCTAAGATCGCCTTGCGGTTTTACTCGCATTGAAGATATTAAAAAGTCAAGTTAAAAGATTTAATTATACATACAATATACTTAATTATACATACAAAACAAATATACCCTTAATTATTAGGTACTGTACAAGTCATGTCCGCGTGGTATAGTGGCAAGAATGCTAGCCGCTAGTTACTTTTATAGCAATATCGATTCTTTGGGCGAAAAATGGGCTAGCTCTCCTGTCACCAGTAGAGGCGATAAGACGAGGTGTTATGTCTTTTAAGAAGTGCTTATCACATTGACTCCATGGGCCAAGGGTTTCTACAGCAAATGGTATAAAACATAATTTTGAGGTTTAATTGTGGGACACAACATGCGTTGGCACATTGGCTCCGTCCCAGTACCGTCTTTACCATAAGGGCATACGGGGAACCGGCCTAGGGCCCCCAGCCTCACGAGGGCCCCACAAAGATAAAATATTCGTTTACATGAACAGAGAGAAGCTCAATTTTTTGCTTATTATTACGAAGAACTGTTATATTTTTTTAATTATAAATATAAAACCGGACTTCCGATTTCGTAATACATATTTTCAAAGCAAAAAAACATTTCACAAAAAAATATATATATAGTAAAACTACGTCCATTTGGCTGAATAAAGATCTGAGTAAGCTGTATGAGATTAAGAATAAATAAAACTATGTTGTAGGTACTACTACCTTTTACATAACGGCAAAAAATAGATTTTTATCATAGTTTTACATAACCTCATAAAAACCGATAAATTAGAATGGATTTTCTGAATGTAAAAGTTGCTGTAAGAATATTCCTACCCTTAATGGTCACTATTCCCATTTATGGTCATTTTCGTAGCTAAATCTATACTAATATTATAAAGAGGTAGTTTGTGATATTGTGAGTTTGTGACGTTGTAGAGGATAATCTCTGGATCTACTGAACCGATTTTCAAAATTCTTTTACCAATAGAAAGCCACGTTCTTTCTGAGTGTCATAGGCTTTATATTAACCCGAAGAATGAAAAGACTTTTTCATGGTAGTCGGATTTATAAAGTAAGTCGGAGAAAAAACGGTCGAACGAAAGCGTTTCTTACGAACGCTGCCTTAACGATGAGAGATATATGATTATGTTCTAGAGAAAACTTGTAGAGCTTAATAATGCCTACAAAAAAGCGACAGTATATGTCTAACTTTTATATTGAAATTTCATTTATATCAACTTGAAATTGGGGGTGATTTTAAGCCTCCCGAGACCATACAATATAAATTTCTCGGAAACGGCTAAACATTTCAATTTAAAAAAATTGGTTACTATATGTATTTTGAAGATTATATTCCTCTAGTTTCATGAATATCAAAAAGTTTTTGCAGACATTAAAAATAATAAAAAAGAACAAGAAAAAATTAAAAATCGTTTTTTTTGGAAATATGTCGAAAACTTTGAGGCTATTGCAAAAGTCGTAGATTTTTACTAGACTTACAACTTTTGTAAAGAATATTTTTCGATAACATGTCACAATAAGCCAGAAATTGAAAAAAAAAAACAACAATTTTTAAACGGTTTGCTATACTTGTCTTGTTTGCTATAAACGTCTTAAAAACATAAAACTTCCGGTTTTAATTTTTTGTGTAGCACGCGATCGGACTATTTGTATAGCGCTATTTAAATTAAAGAAAAACTTAATAACGAATAAAAACGTAATTTGTTTCGAATTAGGTACTTAAAAAAAATATTATTCCTTCTTTTCTTAGACTTCAAACTTCTCAAAAAAGTATATTTGGCTTGGGGGAGGGTCATGACCCCCATGACCCCCCCCCCCCCTGGATCCGCGCTTGAAAACTGCATTGTAAGAGTATACTAATATGTAAAACTAAGAATTTGGTTTTTGGTCATCTGAACCGCCCATCTGAGCCGCGGGTATACTATTAATATTAAGACTGCCTCGGTGGTGTAGTGGCTAACATGTACGGCTGCACACCCGGAGGTCCTGGGTTTGAGTCCCGCGTCGGGCCAAGTTTAGTTATTGAGTCTTCCTGTATAGTAAGTCTCAGTAACAGCCCGGAGTTGGGAAGTTGGCGGTGTTTCACCCCCGTGCCTCGGAGAGCACGTAAAGCCGTCGGTCCTGCGCCTTAACTCTCACCGGTCGTGTCGAGTGGTCGTCCCACCGGAGTATGAGAGTGATAGGAATAGAGAGTGCACTTGTGTCTGCGCGTACACTTGAGCACTATAATATCTCCTGCGGAGTTGGCTAATCTCATTGAGATTGGCCGCCGTGGCCGGAATCGGCTAGGAGAACATCATCATCAATATTAAGACGTAAAGTTTATGCGTTTGTGAATTGTGAGTTTGTGACGTTGTAGGGGGTAATCTCTGGATCTACTAAACGGATTTAGATGTTTGGTAAGAAGATAGTTTGAGACCCTGGAAAGGACATAGGATATATTTACAGATTATTGTTCTATGTGTAATTTAAAAAATTAAAAAGTTTAAAATTAATTAATAATAATAATATTAATTTAGTTTGTTATTATTTAAAAAAATCAAAATCTTAAGCAGCACTCACTTAAAAGATATTTATTCAAATTGATTGTTCTAGAGCCTCAACACGTGCAAATAAACAAAAAATAAATACCATCAAGCTATCCCACATCAGACTGCAGTTTTCAGATGCGGAGAATTTAGCAAAAAAATGTAGGTTTAATTAAAATATAATATATTATACTACTATATTATTAAATAAATGATATTATAAAAGTTTCTCTTATTCTTTATCGCTAAAAAAAATAAACTTTTTTTTAAATTGCTCTGAGTTCTGACATCCAAAGAACATCTGATATATATTACTCTATAAATTATATAGATAAGTGGAATTCCAGAGTGCAACTTAATTTCGATTAAATACCTTTTTCTCAGAATATATTCCAAAATTGTTATTTTAAGATTTATACAAGCAAGATAGCCTTAAATTTTATAAAATTATCGAAATAAAAACGGGTGTGGTCAGATAAAGAAGGATCGATATAGATATCGACATGTAGGACCTCTTTTTAATCTATGGAAGCGTCCTTTTCTTTCAATAAAATGAAGGCGCTCTCTAATACCATTCTGCTCTGTGTAGATTCTGTCAAATAAAGTTTTTAAACTAATTTGTTTGTAAATATTGTACCATTTAACTATTTTCGTATTTAAAACTTGGTTTTTTTCCATTTATATGGGATTCAAATTGAAATATAACCTATTTATTTAATCTATAAGCGTGTATCAAAATATAATTACGAATATCTCTATTTAAAAAATCTTTAATTAGAACGTTGTAAATGAAAATTTGGAATTATTATATATAAAAATGAACAAAATGCTAATTTGTCGGATTTGCCTGTCTTCAGAAAACGTGAAACTGTTTAATGTCATTAATTTTGGTTTATCAGAACCCTATGAGAGGTTAATGGATATTGAGGTAAAAATTTTCAAATAATTTTATATATTATTCCTTAGGGTAGAGGTTGAAATCAAAAATATATAAATAACAATGCAATAGCTTTTTCAATATATTTTATAAGAATGTAGATATTTGTTTCTTGTAACTATTTACTAATAAAGCATGAAGTATGCAACTATTTTAATGCTTCATTATTATATTTTTTTATTATGGAACGCAAAAATATTAGCTTTAATTTTTTTAATATTTTCTCTGCAACATTCTTACTGGTATAAACAAAACTAACTTTAAAACTAATTAAACAAGGGATTATGCTACCTTTAAAAGTGGAATTTGTCTTCAACTGTAAATAAATGAAATAAATTGTCAATTTGTACAAATCTACAAATATCGAATAGATCTTCACCAAATGCTTTAAATTTTTTACATATTATAGGTTTAATACTTATAGAGAAGATTTTTAATATTATAACTATTTTTCTTAAGTCATCAGAGATGAATTTGCCATGAAATTAAAAAGAAGATAGGTTTTGCAACAGATATATTTTTTACTAGCAGCTCATCATCGCTTGGTCGGGTTCCCCTCTAGAAAAACAAAAACAAATCTATCCCATGGGAACCATACATTTTTCTGGGATAAAAAGTAGCCTATTTGCTATTCCAGACTATAATCTATCTCTGTGCCAAATTTCATCCAGATTCATTCAGCCGTTCTGGTGTGATTGAGTAACAAACATCCAACCATTCAAACATCTATCTAAATTTTCACATTTATAATATTAGTAAAATTTGATTATTTTTTAGATATCTGATCAACAAGAGCTGTCACAATACATATGTAGTTATTGTAGCTCGTTACTGCTCAAGTTCCTAGCGTTCAAGGACAAATGTATCTCCGCGTACACTATTATGAAATATGCGGCAAAGGAGAAGGTGAGGTCCAAAAACATCAATCATATACTAATTTTATTGTATCTTAATATCTGCATTCCATTTAAGTGCTAAAGAATAGTATAAATAGTTTTTTCTACTGAATTGCCTCCAAACTACGTTTGCCTTTTGAACTTCTTTTATTTTAACTTATAATATCCAATTGCGATATTTGAGGGTAAAGAAATAGTATAGATGGTGTTGATGCCCAAACGATTAACCTAATTATTTATCTATATTTTTTGTTTTAAAATACATCTTTACATAGTATAAAATGAAGTCTCTTCCGCTGTCTGTTCGCTTAGATCTTTTAAACTACTTAATGGATTTTAATGCAGTTTTCAGCAATAGATAGAGTGATTCAAGAGAAAGTTTAATATGTATAATACATGCATATTATAAACCAGAAAAGCCGAGAAATTCAAAGATTTGTATTTCATATTACCCGTTACAATGTACCTAGGGACGAAGCCGAGCAAAGAGAGTGTGAGTCGCTAGTTTTAAATTAAACTATATTTTTTGGATTATCTCGCGGATTTATTTTGATTTTTTGTTCCCGACATGTCGAATGTTTTACAGCGCACATGGTCACGGGAGAGACTGAGGTTTTAGACGTCTCAAAAGTCATTACACATACATATAGGGCGTTTTCCAATTACAGCATTAAAGCGTATTATGCAGCATAATGCTTAAAGACGAATTTTTCAACTACAGCAACGCTCCAACGCACAATCGAGAACTTTGAAAAGTACTGCTGTGGCGTGACCAACCAACTCAGTAGCAGAAAATATAAAAAGTTTTTTTTTCGCGTTGTTCTCTCCGTAATTACAAAATGCACAAAATGCAACCGACAGTGCCTACTCACAAAATTATAAAATGATTACAAAAAAGCCACCAAAGTACCTTACAATATTTGTTAATTTTAATTTAAAACATTTAATATGCTTTAAATAAGTTTTATAACTCAATATGAAATTATTATTTAATTAATTTTAGCTGATGTTATTATAAATATTACATTTTTTTTACTTTATTAATTACTAGCAACTCACCCTCGTTTCGCTCGGGTTCGTCCTTAGCTTGCTTCCCAATACAAATTTTCCCAATCCCCATTTTCACCCCCCTAAAGGGATGATTTCCGGGATAAAAATCTATGTTCTCCCCAGGGTCTCAAACTATCTTCTTCCAAGTTTCATCTAAATTGGTTCAGTAGATCCAGAGATTACCCCATAAAACGTCACAAACTCACAATCTCACAAACTTTACCTCTTTATAATATTAGTATAGACTAATATTATTTAGTGTTGCTATTTATTTAAAACATAAAGTAGTCTAACGAAAACTTATAAATGTAAAAAAAAAACATTGTATTACCTTTTTTTAGCTAAATTTAGATCAAATAAATGGAATAGCCAATCACAAACTTCCATACACAATGTCAAATAAAAATACCATCATCGATATGGAATATACAGAACTAATAACAATTAAAGAAGAAGACATACCAATTATAGAAGAAATTAAAATAGAGAGTAGTGAAGCAAAAAAGAAGAAGCTAAAAAAGAAGAAAAAAGAAGACTTGTTAACGAGTAATAGTTTAAAATTGGAAGATGATTTTATTGGTAACGAAGATTATGATAATGAAAATGATATACTGAATAATGATTCATTGTTTAATGATTCATTAGTTAATGATACGTTTATTCATGATTCGTACCTAAGTGATATGAAAGTGATAATTTTAAGTGAACAAGAACAATTGCAAGAGATCGAGGAAAGGAAGACTTCTTCCAATTATATAAATTCTTCATATAAATGCAACTTTTGCTACAAAGGTTTTATAATGGCAACAACTTTTAGGAATCATATGTTGAAACATGACCCAGTAAGTATCTATAAAGCATAATGATAGATGATAATGATAACTAGGTGCCTAACTTTTGTCTATAAATGTAACACACACACACACACGCCCGCACGCACGCATACACACACAAACACACATTCGGACACACACGCACGCACACACACGCACACTAGATCTATTGCCGATTAATTAGGGAATTTTCTCAAATAGCATTACATACTGTGATGACGTTGGAGTGAAAGTTATAATATAAATCTCAAAATTCAGAATTTCTTAAGAATTTTCGAACAATAAATATACTTTGTACAAAGCAAGTGAGCAGTTGTATAGGTACATTAAAAAACATATTAAAAATTGCTTGCATTCAAGTAAGAAATAAAGTTATCGTTTTAACGAGCGCGTATTTTCGCGCATTTCCCCGGCAAGTTTCGGGTCAAGTGGTGCTCGACGCACGGTGTGTGAAACAATAGTAAGGAAATTAACCGTATTGCTTAAGTAGTGTCGCGACTTACCCTCGTTTCACTATGAAGCTAACAGCTGGGCATAGTGAAAAAAGGCCACCCATATTTTATGCAAAATTTCGATAATTTTTTTTTATTATTATTTTTTTGGAAAATGCAAAAAAATAATTTGTAAATGATATCATTTTTCGAAAAATGTACCTACTAGTTAATCTTTTCTTATTTTTTGGAAAATAAAAAAAGCATTTTCGATAACGCGAAGATTTTTTTTCCGCCACCCGAATTTCGCCGCCCTGGGCACTAGCCCCGAGTGCCCTAGTGTAAATCCAGCGCTGCCGAACTAGTAGTATCTTACTCTAGGTCATAGTCTATCTGTGTGCTAAATAAATTCATATAATAAACACGCATTCCCTAGGATGGAAATGCATATGTGTAGATCAAGGATAGCTATCTCCATTCCGAATTACACTCAAATCTGTTCAGCCGTTATAGCGCGGAGAAGTGACAAACACACATACACACACAAACGTTCTAATTTATAATATTAATGTGAATAATAGTGTATTATTTTATAGGAACGGGGTGATTTAATATGTGATATTTGCAAGTCCAGATTCACAGAACCGCGAGCTCTCAAAGCCCACAAAGTGCACACACACGAAAGGAAATATATATGTAAATTGTGTGATCACGTGTCTAGGAGTAGGTAAGTTTGTGTTAATTGTGACATTTTTATGGTTAATGTCATTTTCATTTTGTGTCATGACATTTTATGCTTTATGTCATTTTCTTTTTGTATCATGACATTTTATGGTTTATGTTATTTTCTTTTTGTGTCATGACCTTTTTTCAGGTTTGTATCATTTTTTAATAATAACACTCTAAATTTTTAGTTATTTTGATTTGTGTAGGCATTTATCCTGTTATGTTTTTAGATTTTTTTCTTTTCAGTCATCGCGCAAAAGAACATTTGAAGTGGCACAGCGGTTACACATTTGATTGTAAAATATGCGGTGCGTCTTTCGCGTAAGTATTTTAATTTTTTTATGTATTTTATTACTTATGCCACTTGTACTCTTTTCTTTTTGGTGTGTAAGTTTCAGTTTGTAATACACTTTTATTGTTAAATTTAAAAAAATGCTAAACATGATCATTTGATCACGTCCGGGCAATTTCAATGTTTTAAATCGGAATAAAAAAGGGGAGAAAACTCAGCACTGAGGCTTTCTCCTTTTGAATTGGTGGTAGAATCATTAAGTTAGTTATAATTTAATGAAGAATAAAATATTTTGATTTTCCATGTACATTTGGTATTACATATTCTCGCATTTATGTCGCATAAAATCCAGTGCGGGTCATTCATTTAAAAAAGTCACCATGTTCGATTTCCGATTCAAGCAAGCACTATCGACTAACGGTTGTTTTACAGTCGTGATGGAGTAACAAACATACAAACTTTTGTATTTAAATATAAATAAGTACTATTACTTGGCAGAGGTGGCTCAGTGGTAACGCGCTCGCCTAGGAAACTGAGTGAAGCGGGTTCAAATCCCGAGTCTCGCATGTGATATTCACATGTGCAAATCATTTCCAACATGATCACCACTTGTCTTACGGTGAAGGAAAACATCGTGAGAAATCCTGCTGTCTGAGAGAACCTAGCAAGTTGTCGAAAGATGTGTAAAATCCGCCCTGCACTTGGCCGGCATGGTGGACTATGGCCTGATCTCTCTCGTATTGGAGGGAGGCCCACGCCCAGCAGTGGGAAGTTAAAAAAATTAACTAGTCCAATGTTTTCCCAGCAAATCAACCAGCCATCTCACACACATACGTCTTCAACACCCATCTAACAATGCATGTGATATTTGTGGCGAGTCTTTCATAGGAGAGTACGGACTGAGAATGCATAAAACGAAGGCTCATGTAAGTAATCACTATATATTATAAACCAACTTTCGGTTTTAATTTTTTGCGCGGAACCCTTATTCTTTTTACAAAATAAAAGTAGCTTAAGTTATCCTTATAACATCTGCCAGTGGAAGTCCCATCAAAATCGGTCCAGCCATTTCGGAGATTAGCCACAACAAACAGGGACACAAAATTAAAAAAAAAATCTTTTTTTTTCTAATATGTACCGTACATAATTTCATATGCATTTAGTAAAAATCTGTTATTTTGACATTGTGACAGAGACTTTTATTTTATTAGATGTATTATAAATTAAATTTGACTTTGTGTTTGTTCGGACTAATCTCAAAAACTACTACACAGATGTTCATACGGTTTTCACCAATAGAAAGATGGATTATCTAAAAAGTTTATTGGCCAAAAAAATCAAAATGTTTGCGTACTAATATTATAAAGAGACTGTTTGTTTGTTTGTTTGTTTGTTTGTTTGTTTGAACGCGCTAATCTCAGGAACTACTGATCCAATTTGAAAAATTCTTTTTGCATTAGATAGCCCTTTATTGAGGAAGGCTATCGGCTATATATCATATAATATATCTATTCTATACTCAAAGTTAAAACGTACCTAGGGACGAACCCGAGCGAAGTGAGGGTGACTCGTTTAACATATCTTTACAGAACGCCGAAACCAATGTGTTAGCTCAGTGTGAGCTGTGCGAGTTCAAGTTTCTGTCGGTGGAGGCACTCTCGAAACATCTAGAATATGCCAAGGATGACATATGTAATGTTGATTTGAAGTAAGTTGATACATACCATCAATCAAAAAAGTACTAGATACACAATCAGCGACAAAAAAATGACCTCGCCTTATGAGCGCTCGTTTGAACATTTCAACGCGCCTTTAATTTTTTTTGTATAAACAACTTTAAGCATTGCATTTAAGGTTCAATTTACATTGTTGTATATTTATTTCAACTAGAACCATTACCGAAACACAATTGGTGACAGTTTTTAGAGAACTTTTGCATGGGATTGTGTATCTAGTACTTTTTTGATTGATGATACATACGCGCACACACACACACACACACACACGACGACTGGATAGATTTTGATGAAATTTGACATGATGATAGCTGGTTATCCGAGTAACGTAAAAGACACTTTACTGCAGGAAAATATCTCATCTCTGAGAAATCTATACTAAACGTTAAAATGTAAGTAGGAACCTAGGAACTCGAGCGGAGTGAAAGTGAGTCGCTAGTATAATATATATTTGGCTATCTTCTGCACTCTCTATACTTTTTACTCTCATAATATTCCATACTCTGAAACATTTTTGCAACAATGTTATATTCCTTTTTAAGGTTTTTTTTTATTTGAACTTTAGGCCGTGTCCACACTGTGGGGAGGGACTCTCGTCTGAAGAAACTCTTCAAGAGCATTTAAAGGAACACCCTAAAGAAGAAACTGTTTTTTGTGAAGAGGTAAGTCTTATTTCTATATTATCTAAATTTTAGTATGTCTATTTGTGAGGAATATACTCTTTAGTAGGTACTTAATAATAATTTCTTAGATTTACGCGAATATTTGAAATTTTAAATTAAACTCTCTTTTCGGTTTTCATCGCGGATTTTTTTTGGTTGCCGACGTTTCGAATGTTTTACAGCAATCATGGTCACGGGTTGTCTGTAACAACTATATTGACCTCTGAGATGTGTAAAACCTCAGTCTCTCCCATGACCATGTGCGCTTGCTCGCTTCGCTCGGATTCGAGCAACCTAGGGAGGTTGCTTCCCCATACAAACTTTCATCCCCATTATCACCCCGTTAAGGGGTGCTTTCCGGGATAAAGAATATCCTATGTCCTTCCCAGGATTGCAAACTATCTTCTTACCAAATTTCATCTAAATCGGTTCAATAGTTTCGGAGCCTATTCGATACAAACAAACAAATAAAAAATCAAATTTTTCATCTTTATTTGATTACAATAGATCTTAAATAATCAAAATAAATCCGCGAAGGAAACCGAAAAGGTAATTTTATTTAAAATGTGAAATATTCCCGTAAATCTAAGAAGGTATAAATATAATGGTTATCACACCCATTGGTGTAGTGCAACCGTTCGTTCCGCACGCGGCGGTCGCACGCGACGCACTACCAGCGCGTGCACCTCGGCGTCAAGCTGCGGCCGCGGCGCCGCGCCGCCGGCAAGCGCGGCGAGAGCGCCGTCTGCGAGGTCTGCGGGTACAAGTGCATTGTGAGTCTGTTTGTTTGTTCCCCCACCCCTCCACACAAATACACACATTTCCCTTCCCCTCCCCTTGCGATCCCCTTTTCCTTCCTCTTCGCCCACACATTCATCTCCCCATAAAGACCCTCCTTTCTATTAACCCCCCACACCTTCCAACACACCTTTCCCCACACGAAACGTGACGTGCTTTGAAGTGAAACTTCTTTAGAATTGTTATGATTTGAAACTCGATAAACACAACATACAATACACAAATATATAGGATTAAGGCGGCGAGAAAATGAGATAGAATACATTGCCATATTGCCATGGTAACCGTTGTTATTGTCTGACAAATGATATATAATATTATATTCTTTCCGTATATGATATTCTATAAATATATGATTGGAATATGCCTAATATGCTATAGATAATTATTGATTTGTTTTAATTTAATTTTGATATTTACCAAAGAAGTTTCACTTCAACCACGCATAAAGGTTACACGCACACATTTTTTCCATAATTTCAGTCGAAAGCAACCCTCGTGTACCATCAAAGGATCCACACGGGAGAGAAACCGTATCAATGTACAGAGTGTCCGAAGAAGTTCAGTGTATTTCAACGGTTGCAGGTAAAACTTTTTCTAATATAATAATCAAACATTTTGTAGGTAGTACCAATACTTTAACTTACAGTCTATGTACAAAATTTCATCCAAATACGTCCAACCGTTTAGACGTGAAGGAGTAACAAACATACAGATATTTACAAACTTTCATATCGGACTAATAATATAAAAGTGTGTGTTTGTATGTCTGTTTGTTATTAACGCTGTAACGACTTAACAGATTTAAGTGAAATTGTTACTGGAGATAGATTAAGTCTTAAAACATAGGCAAAATTTTTATCATTGTCATCAAGCAAGTAGTAGTAGTAGTCAGTCTAAGTTTGTGGCACTTCTGTACTGTTTTTTTTTTACATTTTATTGTAAAACATTTAATTATGTAGCTTTTGATGTAACAGACTGGTTTTAATATATATTTTTTGTCTACAACAGATCCATATAAGAACACATACAGGAGAAACTCCGTACAAATGCAAACATTGTCCCAAAGCGTTTAAACACAAAGCCGCTCTGAACAGACATGACCGGGTGAGTATTTTATATCTTCAGAGAATATATTGAAGCAAAAGTAATAAGACTTAATAAACAAAATAAGTGTAATAATTAACCCCCGACCCAAAAAGAGGGGTGTATAAGTTTGACGTCGATGTCTGTCTGTGGCATCGCAGCTCTCAAACGGATGGACCGATTTCGATGCGGTTTTTTTCATTTGAAAGCCAGTTTCCTTGCGGTGGTTCTTAGCTATGTTTGGTTATTATCGGTCTAGCAGTGTAAGAGTATCAGCTCTTTTAATTTATAAACAATTTTAATGATTTAGGTGAAAAATCAGAGAGGTACAAAAACTTAAATAAATTTAGATTGACTGGTGAACTACTTTAAAAATTCGTAAAAGATATACATACAAAGATTTTTTCGGTCCAGGAACCTTCTTAAGGGATTTTTTCCAGGATAAAAATTATCCTATGTCCTCCCCAGAGTTTTAAACTACTTAAAAAACTACTTAAGTTTTAAAACATTTCGGATAAAGCGTGAAAAGATAACAGACAGATAGACAGTGAGTTACTTTCGCATTTATAATATTAAATAATAAAAGAAACTTATTCCAGGTACATACAGGGGCGAAGCCCTACAGCTGCCCGCACTGTGGCAAGTCCTTCTCACAGTCTAACTCCATGAAGCTACACGTCAACACTGTCCACTTGAAAATGCCCGCGCCTTACAGAAATAGGCGGAATAAAATAAATTAATATATATTTTATAAGAAATACTGTTTGTTTTATTTATGGCCATGTTTTATATATTTTTATTTATTTATTTATTTATTTTAGGGAAACAAACAGTACGATATTACATAAATAATTAATAATAATAGATGACACATAAACCAATGAAGTTTCCACAAATTAAACAATACACTTAAGAAGCAGACCATAATGAAAATGAGAAAAACAAAAAGCTAAACAATAAACTTAAAAAATTACAAAATGAAACACTGCTTGACATGAATAATAAAAAAAAATAAAAAATAAGGAAAAATAAAAAATACATAAAATACAAAATCAACAATTAAACAATAGGTTATTAATACTATATTTGAATCTTAAAAGTGAATTTGAAAATATGTCTGTACTTGTAAATTTTTTATTATACTCATTACATGAGCGAAGTATTTCGAGCATATTTCGTTCTAGTACATGGCAGGTCAAAAATATCGTGGTAATTTTGTTCATTATATATCCTAAATAGTCTATATTATTCCTAAGTTTCATTAAAATCCGTTCAGTATTTTTTGGATTTAAGTCTAAAGAACTTCGCTTCGCTAGGGTTCGCCCCTTGGTTGATTCCCCATACAACCTTTCATCCCCATTTTCACCCCCTTAAAGGATGATTTCCGGGATAAAAAGTATCCTATGTCCTTCCCAAGGTGTAAATTATCTTCTTACCAAATTTCATCTAAATCGGTTCAGTAGATCCAGAGATTACCCCCTGCAACGTCACAAACTACTGTATTATGTATTAGCGGTATTATGTACTAGTTACGTTTTAACGGTTAGTATGGAATAGATAGACTATATCATTATCGATACAGAGTCCGAATTTATAGTTTTTAGAATTTCTGTCTGTCTGTTACCGCATCACGAGAAAACCACGACAGATTTTGATGAAATTTGGTATGATGATGGCTGGTTGCCCGGGTCAACATATAGAATAGTTTTTACCGCGGGAAAATATCTCATTTCTGAGAAAAAACACAAAAACTGCATTGTAAGAGTATATTAATATGTGAAATCTAAAAATTTGCCCCGGGCAATGCTAGTTATTATATAAATTGACATTGCAAAATACTAGTGAGGCACCCTGGCATAGTTCGAGTTTGTCCAAAGTATACAGAAAATATGAATTTTCATAGCCTTAACCTAAGAACTTTTCGAAAACCCATCATGGTTTTCGAAAAGGTTTATTTTAGCCAAAAAGTGGTCAATGCCCCCTAAAGTCCAATCTATCTCTATATTAAAATTCCTCAGAATCGGTTCCGCGGTTTAAGCTTGAAAACGTAAAAAATAAACAGAATTACTTAATAGTAATGTTTTTTGTTTTTACCTGTTACCTTTTTATCGACTTCAAAAAACGGAGGTTATCAATGTGACACTTATGTAGGTAATATTGTTGGAGCTGCAAAATATTCATATATGATAATTTGTTAGGGCTTCCAAGCAAATATACAAAATTTTATTGATGTATGTATGTATATTTGTATGTTTGTCCAAGCACATTTCCGAAACTAACAATCGGATCGAGATTACTCTTATTTTGTTTGCTTGCATACTTATTACAAAAACCATTTCAGATTTTACTTAAAACTAAAAATTACGGAATAAATAAGTAATTTAAAAAAAATAAGGTACCTACTTCAAAAAAAAATACTAAAAAAGTAAAAAACTAACTAAACGGGGGTTTTCATTTATTATAGAATATAGATACCTACCTAATATTGGAATCAATTAATTCCAAAAAGTTTTTGAAATTATTTTGGTATTCATTTCTTTATGATAAATTAAATAAATTAATAGTTTTTCATTTACTGAATAACTAAAGTGGCTAAGATTTCAAGTGAACTCGTACGCAAATCCAACATAATCAGGTTGTATTACTTATACATACGTTCATGCTAATATTTGGTGAATGATAAATATTAATCTGTCATCTTTAATCGAAATAGGTTAGGTGTTTACTTTAAGTTTAGTTTCCCATCAAGATATTAATCTAGGTTTATAACTGTCTCTTTTCATTTTCTTTATTTTCATTATCTTAATCAATAAAAATGCCAGTATTTCTTTCTTTTCTTACTTATTTCTGACTTTCAGAAATATGCAACTGAATTACCTAAGATAACTATTAATTCGCTTAAGAATCATAAACTCGTAGTGGATGAGAATATTATTGTGTGCGCCGTAGACGTTTTAATAAAAACACAAAAGTTACGACTAGGTCTAGGAAGTAGGACCAAAATGGAAACAGAATAACGTTACCGTAATAAGTTTCATAATCAGTCCAGTTCAAGGTCAATTACATAAATCACTGATAAATAGAATGACGAAGAAAGCTATAAATAATAATACAAATTGTTAAAATAATTTAATTGATTGGCATAAATTTAATAAAACAAAATAGTATAAAACAAACGTCAAAGCAAAAAACGCGGGAAACGGAAACATTACCTTTAATCATTATCTCATAGATCAATTTTTAATTGCCAAATAGATACAGTCAAAAAATTAAACAGACTAACAACATTATAAGAGGAATCTATTTCCGGAACGCTACGTTGCATCGCTCTATGGTCTGTGGTTTTTCGGATGTCGCGGCGATTACAATAATCGATTATGATATACAATAAATCGATTTTAAAATTGAAATTAGCAGAGAAATGCTTAAACTAAAAATTAAAAAGAAGTAATAAAGCGATACGTAAATTTTCATTATTTTATTATTATTTTTATTTATACATCATTTATTTGTACTTCACTTAATTTTTAATTTTATATTATTGATAATGTATAAAAATACAGTATATTTAGAAAATGTATATTATTAAAACGTAACTACATAATTCATTTACACACTTTACATTTTAAATCATAAAAAAATATTTAAAATATTACTTTAACCGTAATTTTAATGAAAATTTCATTTGAAACAATATCAATGATATAGATAACGAATAATTCACATAACGAATATTATGACACAATGAATCGATATGAAGACATTAACAAAATCAAATCAGCACAACGCTACACAGCGTCCACAGATACTGTCATGGCGGCATAGAAAAATAAGTGGTCCCATCATTTCATATTTTATCCTCGGAGTGATCGGTTTAATCTGTGCAATGAGCAATAATATGTTTTATTGTTCGTTTGTTAGCATTCACTACATAATCTGTGAATGCGGAGACACTTTCCCAACAGAAGAGGCGCTAAAAGATCATTTGGAAAAGGATCACAATAATAAAATACAAATCGAAAGAAATGAATTCAAGTGCGACACCGTAAGTATCTTATTCCATTATATTTACGTCCATCTATTTTTGGGCGGGAATGCTTATTGTGTACAATAGATAATAATGATAAATATCATAGGTGAAGCGTCTTGAATATTTTATATATATTTATACTTTATAGCTTACAGAACATTTATTTGTGTGTAATATGTGTTTTGTATACTTGTATATAAATTATAAAGTTTAAATATGCATTAACAGTTCAGAAGTCCTATTTTGATTAATTGTCGTATTTAATTAAAAAGTACGGAAACTAACCTTGTTGTGCTACTTTTAACATTTACAAATTTCCTGTTCAAAGTGGTGATGTACCTATTTAAGGAAGAATTCGTAAAAAGATTTTTCTGATTAAAAAATAATAGTACATTAAAAATTGTAGCATAATTTCTTTTATTCATCTTGAAAGTTTCATCCTGAAAAACTCTTAAGATTATTAATATTTATATGAATGTTTAATGAGAAAATATGATAAGTACCTTTTACTCATAATTATGCAATCTACCCTTCTATATTTTTAATTGTCCATTGTAATTACAGTGTAGCAAAATATTTGCTTCTGAGCGAGCATGCCTCATCCACCAGAGGATCCATACCAAGCCTCGCACCAAGAAAGATTCGGACCAAGAGAAGAAGAGATATGTTAACATGAAGAATATTGTTTGTGAAGTGTGTGGGAAGAGATATGCGGTAATTAATAAAAGCCTTAGAAGCATTCACATATAAAAATTTTATGATGTTTATCTAAGAGTAATATATGAGATTAAGTATAAGTATTAAATTAAATATAAATAAATTATTGTATTATATTTGTATTAACACACAAATAAAAAATTATAATTGTATTAACATAGCACCATTTAGTTTCATGGTAAGCTACGAGGCCTGTGTTATGGATACCAGATAGTTGATACACTAAATATATATAACTTTTAATATATAAATATTATAAATATAATCGCCCCTGTCTGAAGTACAAACATTCATGCTCATCACATAAATGAATGCCTCCAATGGGACTCAAACTCGTGACCATTGGCGCCCCTGATTGACCCCTGGCACTACAAACTGAGCTGTGTTGTCAAATGAATGTAACTTTCACTTGTAATTCTTTTTAATGCAAGCAAAACAGTGTCTTATTGTTAGTATATTTTTAATTTTATAATATGTATTTATTTTTCAGTCTAACGCAGCTTTGAGATATCACCAGCGGGTCCACACAGGAGAGAGGCCATATCAGTGTAGCGAGTGCCCTAAAAGTTTCACTATGCCACTATTTTTGCAGGTAAATATATATCTATACATATAATAAAATTGTAACCAAGCTGAATCTATACATTAAATATTTTTTGGAAAATCTTATTGAAATAAACATTATTATCGATACAGAGGCAGAATCTATAGATTTTAGAATTTTTGTGTCTGTCACAGAAAAGCCACTGGGAGGATTTTGATGAAATTTGGAATGATGGTAGCTGGTTATCCGGGTCAACATATAGAATATTTTTTACTGCGAGAAAATATCTCATCTCTGAGAAATCTATACTAACCATTAAAACGTAACTAGCGACGATGAACCCGAGTGGAAGGAGGGGGAGGGTGTTTTTACAAACACTCCGTTAATTTTGGCGGTTTACTTTATTAAACTTAAATCTTTAAAAATATCATATCGTTACGGATTACTTTAAACGCCCGCCATTCCGCGCGCTGGCGTGACGTCACAGTATGATATACACAGAGACATGGCGACTTCAGTTTGTAGCGACAAAATTGCTAATCGCTCTATAATGATAATACTCTGACGTCACATTCGGTCTGACCAATGGCGTTGCGTTTCAACTACTTTGAATTTCCCACCTGTTTTTGCACTTTTTTTAATTATTAATTTCTTTATTAAAAATAAATTAAATAAAAAAATATTGATATAGGCTTATTCAAAAGCAATAAATATTATAAAAAAATATTCAACCTTTATTTCACATGAATATTTCCTTATTTTAGAAGGGCTTTAGAAAGATATTAGCCCGGGAGTTATTTAACTACAGAGAAACCATAATATTTCAAGACATACTCCCAATGACAATTTTTTCATGTTTTACAGATCCATATGAGAACACACACAGGAGAACGACCCTACGAGTGCCCGCACTGCCCCAAAGCCTTTAGTAACAAAGCTGCCCTACTGCGGCATGATAGGGTAAGTTAGATGTATGTATTCAACCCTTTTTTAATATACCACTGCTGGGAGTGAGCCTTCAATATGAAGGGGATCAGGCCGTAGTCCACCACGCTGGACAAGTGCGGGCGGACTGAACATGTCTGCAAACAACTTGCTAGGTTTTCTCTCTCATGCAGGTTTCCTCACGATGTTCTCCTCACCGTAAGACACGTGGTGATCGTGTTGGGAATGATTCGCATATGAGAATATCAGAGCCTAAGTTACTCCTTATAACATCAGCTATCCACCACTGAAAGTCCCTTCAAAATCGGTCCAGCCATTTCGGAGATTAGCCGGACAAACAGACAGATCAAAATGGAAAAAAAAGTTTTTCTAGTAAATACTGTATATAATTTCATATGAATTTAGTAAAAAGTTATTTCGATACATAGAAAAACAAATCTATCCCACGAGAACCGTACATTTTTGCAGGATAATAAGTAACCTATGTGCAATTCCATACTTTTATCTATCCCTGTGCCAAATTTCATCCAGATCCGTTCAGCTGTTCTGATGTGATTGAGTATCAAACATCGATACATCCAAACTTTTGCTTTTATAATATTACTAAGATTACAAACAGACAGTTCAAGTTTTTTTATCTGTATATTTAATGTGTAGTAATTTTCAGGTCCACACAGGTTTGAAACCGTACGAGTGTCCACAATGTGGCAAGTTCTTCACTCAGTCCAACTCGATGAAGTTACATGTGAAGACGGTACATCTCAAGATGCCAGCCCCATACAAGAGTAGGAACCGACGTGCGAGACAATCTGCCAGACAAGGTAAGAAATACTTATTTAAGACACGTATGGCTCAGTTTGTAGTGATCCTACTTGCTGTGCCAGCGGTCGCGGGTTCGAGTCCCGCTGAGGGCATTCATTTGTCTTTACTCCAGTCGAATGTCTGTACTCCAGTTGTGGGTGTTTATATTTATAAATTGTATGTATTTAAAGTTTTATATTTTATGTGTATGGTACAGCTGTGTTGCCAAATAAGCGATTTTATCGTTAAAAATTGTTTAAAAAAATATTTTTTTTTGCGACAAAATCGCTACATTGGCAACACTGGTACGCGGGTTTTGTTCACAATTTTAAGAGTTTTATTTTTTTCCGCGGAACACTGATTTAAAAAAAAAAGTAGCCTCAGTTACTCCTTATGGCATCAGCTATCTGCCAGTGAATGTCCCGTCAAAATCGGTCCAGCCGTTTTGGAGATTAGCCAGAGCAAACAGACACAAAATTTTTAAAAATTGTATTTTTCTTATAAGTTCCATATATAATTTCATATGCATTTAGTAAAAAGCTGTTATTTTGATATTACACAAAGACACTACAATTTTATTTATCTTTATAGATAAAAATGTTAAATATTCGCATAAATCTAAGAAAATACAATATTTTTTGACATAAGAAATTTTAATAAAACTTGTTTCTAATTATAAACCTATTTCCAGCAATGAATGTCGAAGTGCAGATAGAAGAAGGTATGTATCAGCCCCCGATCAAAACGGAGCTAAGGGAGTACGAGACGGACGGAGAGATATATCAGGATGCTGATACTTACCAAGAGGTTTGTTTCTTACTTGCTTTTCTAAAGGCTGTTAGACTAAAATAATATACTCTTAAATATATTGAAATAAATGTATTCAGCCCTTTCTAACGTCCCACTGCTGAGCGTGGGCTTTAATACGTGGGGGATCAGGCCATAGTCCAGGCTGGGCAAGTGCGGGCGGACTGAGCATGTCTGCAGACAACTTGATAGGTTCTCTCAGTCATGCAGGTTTCCTCACGATGTTTTCTTTCACCGTAGGACAAGTGGTGATCATGTTGGAAATGATTTGTACATGAAAATATCAGAGGAACCGATTTAGATGAAATTTGGTATGAAGATAGTTTGAGACCCTGGGAAGGATATGGGTAGGATAGTTTTTATCCCGAAAATCATCCCTTAAGGGGGTGAGTCTCTAGAAACTAATATGAATGTTAATAAAATGTGTTTTTTTTCAGGTATACCAAGATGGCGATATACTGTATGATGAAGTGAAAGTTGAGGGTTCAGAGATTGCCATGTATGAGGAGGAGCAGGAGGATCAACCGGAAGTGCTTTACGAAGAAGTGTATGAAATACAAGAGGTGTAGTGAATCCCATGGGCCATGGGATAGAGAGATCCCATAAACGATGGAAATGTCCCAAAGTGACAAATTTTATGTTTTGGTTAATTGTTGAAGCAAGTGATGATATGTGAACTCGTTGCCCTTTGATGTGAGGTATTGAGGGGTTTTGATTCTTCGGATATAGTGTTTTGAGGGGATTCAAAATTTTACTATAGCAGCTGGTGTATTTTTTTTATGAAAATATTTTCATTAAAATGGATAGATTATGGTTAAACGAATAATAAAATAATGTTAGTAATGTGGTGCATTAAACTGTCATGTTTCACCCTTCCGGCATGGAACCCTAAATATTTTGTGAATTATGATGTCATTGTGTAGAAAAATTATTTAAACGTTATGACGATTTCTACAAATAAATTATATTTTTTTACTAAAATGTAGGATAATAAATGTAAATAGGTATATTGAACTCAAAATCAATTTTATTTATTTCCTATCTTGTGGGTGGAGACGAAAAATCCATCCCAAAGGGTGGAATGTTAGTTCAACCCCCACTACTTTAACTGATTCGATAGATCAACTATATCCAATAGGGTTGTATGTGTATTGAAAATTAAGCATTTTAAATATTTTACATAATTAATATAAACTATTTTTGCTCTAAAATAACATATTTTTAAACGTTTGATATATAAAAACATAAATACACATTTCCTATCAAATATCTCCTCAAAAAGTGGCGTCCACATGTCACGTTATGTCAAACCAAAGAATAACATTCAAAAACTAAAATTTAGTATAAAAAAATTTATACCGATACGGATACTTTAAACCCCCGCCATACCGCGCGCTCGGCGTGACGTCACAGTATCATACATAGAAGAATGACTAGTTTGTAGCGACCAAATCTCTAATCGCTCTATAATGATAATACTCTGACGTCACATTCGGTCTGACCAATGGCGTTGCGTTTCAACTACTTTGAATTTCCCACTTTTATCTACACTTTTCAATAATTATTTTCTTAATCCAAAAGAAATTACATTAAAAAATATTGATACAGGTTAATTGAAAAGCAATAAAGATTATGAAAACAAATATTTCACTTATATTAAGTTATACTTCTTTTGGTACGTTTAGAAAAAATTATGAGAGTAAAATGTAAAATTTTTACGATGCGCGCACACCGACAGCCGAAATGCGACATGATGAAGTTAGCTGCAAACGACATTATGCAGTTAGCTGCATTCCTTTTACAAACAGAGCTGTGACATACGGATGAAATCTTTAGCTATATTTTTTTTATTACACGTATATTCCCTATTGTCTAAACACAAACTCGAACTCGCACTACATAAAGTACTTTTTTAAACGAGACAACGTGCGTTTTGATTTTGTCATCCGAAAAGCAATGAACAGAAGAGTTTTGTAAAAGCGCACAATTTCGAATCTTGCGCTTCTTTTTGAAGACACTTTTGAGACGGTAATATGATGACATTAATATTTAACTACATATTGTTAAAAATGGCTGATTTTTGGCAAATTGAAAATTAAGTATTACTTATTCATTATTATGTACTAACTCTTCGTTTGTTTGGATTTTTGTATTTTATATTTTTATACATATAAATTTGTTTTATATATAATAAATGTTTGTCCGTCTGTTGTTCACTTTGGGGTATTTCAAGCGAAGTCACATAAGAAGCTAGTGTTTATTATCGATCAAAAAACTACTACATACACAATCACATTCAAAAGTTCTCTTAAAACTGTCACCGATTGTGTTTAGGTAATTGTTCTAGTTGAAATAAATATACAACAATGTAAATTGAACATTAAATGCAATGCTTAAAGTTGTTTTTACAAAAAAAATATTAAAAGCGCGTCCAAATGTTCAAATGAGCGCTCATTCGGTGAGGACAATTTTTGTCGCTGATTGTGTATCTAGTACTTTTTTGATTGATGTTTTATATTTAAATATTAAGTTATTATACATAGTTGTTGTTTTAGTTTTTATATAGAAAAGTGCTAAAGTAATTTTATTGTATCGATTTTGATGAAATTTGCATGTAAATATAGTATAAGTGACTTGTCCATACAAAAATGACTGAACGGATATCGATCTTGTGTTCTGTTGTATTTGTATAGAAAGTCACACGCTTAAATGTATGGAATAGTGTATGTTTATTTTAAGATGTACAATAAATATTATTGATAATTTAAATTGTGTTTTTATTATAAACTAAAGTATTGAAAATTCGAGGATAAACATTATTGAATCTTCATCTCCCTGCCCATTTCCCAATAACTTGGGGTCGGCGCAGTACAGCTTCTGTACTGCTGATATGATTTGGCAAAAGTTTTACGATCGGCCGCCTCACTCCTGCATGACGTCAACCCTCCTTGGGAATGCTATTGTCTCTCTTTGAATGGTATCACTGAAGTCTTATAGTATGCACTTTCGATTTATTTGTCTTTTGAAACATTTTTTATACTATAAATAATATATAATAAAATTGTAACTAAGCCGAATCTGTACATACAATATTTTTTTGAAAATCGTATTAAAATAAACATATTATCGATACAGAGACCGAATCTATAGTTTTTAGAATTTTTGTCTGTCTTTTTACCGCGGGAAAATGTCTCTTTTCTGAGAGAAATTAGAAGAACTGCAATGAAAGAGTATACTTATATGTAAAATCTAAAAAAAATGGTTTTTGGTCATCTAAACGCGGGTGGAGCCGCGGGCAATGCTTGTAAGCTATATTATTGTAGTTTCATTAAAATCCATTCAGTAGTTTTTGCGTGAAAAAATAACAAACATCCATACATCTATACATTCATACATCCTCACAAACTTTTATAATATTAGTAGGATTTTAACTATCTATTCGTAAGTTTTCGCAGATTTATTTTGATTTTTGGTCCCTGAAAATTCGAATGCTTTACAGCAATCTTGGCCATTTAATGTTTAAAACAAAATCAACAAACATTATAAGGTACATACTTTGGTATTTTTGTATTATTTAAATCATTTTGTAATTTTGTGGGTAGGCGCTGTCTGTAACAACTATACGAGTATAACGACCTTTGAGACGTCTTAAACCTTAGTCTCTCCCGTGACCATGATTTCTGTAAAGCATTCGAAACGTCGGGAACCAAACATCAAAATAAATCCGAGAAAAAATCCGATAAGATAGATTTATTTAAAAGATCACCTCTCAGCCAAAAACTTACCAACACCCTACAAAAACTGTAAAAAAACATGACAAATGTTAAAACCATTTATTCAGAATAACAAAGTAAATAATTAGTGCATAATAGGAAAATTTATAGTATATTTTAAACTATCTTATTGAAATAAATGATACTTTACAAATAAACCTTCTAACTCTATTTACATTTAAAAATAACGAAAGTACCTCAGATATTTGAGAATTAATTGTAATAAAAAAATATTCAAATTATATTTCAAATTCAAATCCCCATAATTTAAGTAAATTTCAAATAAAAGTAAAAGAAAACATCAAATTTATTTTTATTTTTTAATCTATAAAATAAAATATTTACACAGTCTATTAAAAAAAAGAAACATAATTTAGTGATAAAAGGCTACTTTTGCATTTTTAGTTTATTTTTAATTAAAAACATTAAAATAAAAGTTAAAATTTTCTTAGGTCCAAAGAAAATGCTTTTGGTCCATATTGAATAAAATACAGATAGTAAAAAAATTGATTACATTAAATTAAAACAATATCTGAGGTAATTCCTACTTAATAATAATATTCACCTATTTTTACGCCATAAATCAAAATACCTCGTTACATTAAAATCTTCTTTTGGCATAAAAAACAAATTAAAAAAACCCTTGATATTCTTATCACTTATTTCTTCAATAATACGGTGAAGGAAAACCTGCATGTCTGAGAGCACCTAACAAGTTGTCTGCAGACATGCTCAGTCCGCCCGCACTTGGCCATCGTGGTGGACTATGACCTGATCCTCCTCGTATTAAGGAAGGCCTGCTCCCAGCAGGGGGATTATAAGGGCTGAATACATTTATTTCTTTCTTCTATTCTCACAAGGACCATGCAAAGGGAGCCGACTTAATTCGAGATGGTCCACAAAAGGCTCATTGGTCCAATCGTTATCTTGTAAACACAAATCTTCGTTTTATTACACCATCCTCACAAACACCAAAAACATCCTCACAAAAAAAAGAAAAAGAACAGTATATTATTTCAAATTACATAAATATAACACTTATTGTGGACCAACGAAGGCTAATCAAAGAGTTCAAAATCGATTGGTTTCTTTAGAGGTGTTACTTTCCATCTTCCAGTATCAAATTCTGATGAGTCCAGACTTCACTTGAACCGATCATTTTAGCGGGAGATTAAAATAATGTACTCCAACCGATTTAGGCAACGGCAGCCAATCTCACTGAGATAAACTGCCGTTGGCATGCTGGAACTGCTAGCCAACTGCAGGAGATATTGTAGTGCAGTGAGTAATGGAGAGAGCACACACAAAGTACACTTTCTGTTCTTTTAACTCTCATATGCCATAACTCGACATTGCTGTTTAAAATCCAACGCCTGAATGTATTCTGTCTATGCATGGAACACGAACACCACCATGTTCCCAACTTCAGGCTACTTCTGAGTATCTCATGACACAAAAATCTATAACTGTTGTGACTGACCCGGCCCTCGAACCCAGGACCTCACGATCTGCAGCCATACGTTAGCCACTAGACCAACGAGACAGTTACAACACACATACAAACTGCATCTTTAACTTTCATATTCCAGTACTCCAACTTTTATACGTGTTCTCCTCATCACGAGGGAGTATCACCACTAATGGAAATTTTCTGAAAAACACCATACAAAAGAATGAAATTATGTGTGAAAGGGTTATTTGGATATGCATGGAAGCATATGGAGAGAGGAATGTATCTTGGCGAAGGGAAGGATGATGTTGTCTGCCAAATACAATATCTTTCAACTAGATATTGCATGAATTTTGTTTTTTATGCCGCAAGAAAAAAAATATTAGAAATTATTACACCATTTATTATAATCATCGATGTAGCCTCATGGGGTCGTTTAGACCCCATAATATCATCAAAACCCCTAAGCAAATAGATGAAACCAGGCTTAAAACCTTAGGGATCATCTTTGTACCCCACATTTTTGGGACAAACATCCCCAATAAAATCCAGAGGCTACATCAGTGATTTGAACCCATTTTTATGTAATTATTTACTTCGGAATATTACCAGCCTTCAACTAACTATCACCTTTCATTGGACTTTAAACGTTTATACTGATCCATTGTAATTTGCACAAAATAGCGGTTTTTTTAATAAGAAATATTATTTTTTATCTATAAACGTGTGCAAATCGAATCGAAATTCGCTTGAAAAACTTTAATCTAACTTCTCGAGAGCCAAAAAATGTTTAAGCTTAACGTTTATGATATATCTAGAGGTACCCATTTCGAAAGGGTTCATTTCAAAGATAGAATTTCAAACTTCGCACATATATTTATCTACTTAACTAGAACTTCGTTTTCACTACGAAAAGGGTTAAGAATTATAATTTTTTTTTGAAGTACGACTAAGATTTTCTTGAAGCTAGCTTTGCCTAGGATATAAAAACTAATGACCGTCTATTTTGTTGATTTATTGCTATTATAGCACCTCTTTTGAGGTTCAAACGGTACTTCCTCTTACTGCGTGGTTCACTTAAAAATAATCTTAAAATGCTTTTTAAAGGATTAATGTTAGTTAAGTAAAGTGGTAAGCTAATCAGAATCTGATTCGGACTCGGCCGACTCAGATTCTCCTGACTCCGAACTGGAAACCGGTTCGCATTTGATGAATTCGATCTCCTTCCTAGCTTTTCGGGGCCTTCCCCGCTTCTTCGTCGCCTTCTCCGGAGCTTCGCCGTCATCCATGACAGTTTTCACCATTTGGGATATACGCTTCAAATGCTGTTGTTCATGTCGTTGCAGATGGTTGTTCAGATATCGCTTGATTTTAAATTTCTTGCCGCATTGGTCACATTCGTGCTGGTACTGGCTTTCGTCCACTTCGACGTGCACTGAGTTGTTGTGACGTCGCAAATAATGGGCGTGGGCAAACTCCTTGTCGCACTTCTCGCAACGAATCTTCGGCTTGTTGGGATGCACGATCTTTTTATGCTTCTTCAAACGTACGGCCGAATGGAAGAACTTATCGCACAGTTCACACTTGACCTTTTTCTCGAAGGCAGTGTGCACTTGCATGTGCTCTTTCAAGTATTGGTCGTTTTTGAACTCCTTGAGACATTCGGGGCAAGTCACTTTGGATTCCAATGGCGGGTGGATGTTTAGAATATGGCGTTTCATGTGATGTCGGGATTTAAACGTCATGGGACAGAAAACACAGGGGTGTCTCTCGACTTGAGAGTGCTGGAAATGCAAGTGTCTGTTTAGATTTAAATGACTTTTGTACAATTTTTGGCAGATTGGACACTTGTACTTGTCTTTGTCTGGTCTGTGACAGTTTTCGATATGGTATCTCAGTTTGTATGGGACTGCGAACTCTTTGCCACATTCAGGGCATTTAATTTCGGGCAGCGTGTTGGGGTGAATGCGCTTCACGTGCATGTGCAGAGCCCGTCGCGTACGGAACTCTTGTAGGCAGAATTGGCAATAGCATTTCTCAGATTCCGAATAATGCTTGTTCATCCTATGCATGTACAGATAGTGTTTGTTTTTGAATGTTTTATCGCAGATGTCACAGATCACTGCGGACTCTTCAGAGGAATGCACTCTAGTTGTGTGAAGGTAGAGGTTTTGGTAATTCTTGAACTCCTTGTTGCATTTCTGACAAATGTACCGTTTAGTTCTCTTTGGGAACATTATAGGTTTCCAGGTAGATAGGACTGATTCGTACATTGCTCGTTGCTCTTCGGTCAGGGCTTCACTGGTCACAGATATGAATTTGGTTGGCGGTCTGTTCGGTTGGGGACCAGGTCGGGGGATCATTTGTTCGGGAATGGGCTGGGATTCAAACCCAACTTCTTCTACTTTGGGCAAAGAATAGTTCTCTGGCAAGCTTCCTTGTGGATATTGCTCATCTGGATTCGGTTCGAGGAAGTGGCCCTCGATCTTCGGTGGATATTCCTCCATTTTAGGAGGATAATCTTCCAATTTTGGCGGATAATCCTCCATTTTCGGCTGCTGATACATCCCCTCCTCCATGTTTATCTGGAAAAAATGAAATCAAGATTAAAAAGGTTTAATACTGGTAATATTAACTATTATTTTTATTTATTTTAAAGAGACATGATAAGCTCGTGGTCTTATAACGTACGGTAAAGTTAAATGAACATTATGTAGATTTTATAATGATAAAGACCTACAAATAGAAACAAACCTATTTTTTTTTGAATGAGGGGGGACAGGGTAGATAACACAAAAATCAGTCTGTATAATATAATAAATATTATAAATGTGAAAGTTTATGAGTATGGATGTTTCTTACTCTTTCATTCCAGAACGGCTGAACGGATCTGGATGAAATTTGGCACAGAGATAGATTATAGTCTGGAATGAAACATACTTTTCATCCCGGAAAAATGTAAGGTTCCCGTAGGATAGATTTGTTTTTGTTTTCCTACTACTAGTAAATAATGAAACCTGTCACAGCTATATTAATTTCATAAATTCGCGTATCATCGTTGAATTTAGTTGGTAACTGCCAGATACGACCTCTATCATTGGAGAACCGCAAATTACGTAAGTAATATAGTAATAACTAAGTATCTATAAATATATAGATGTCAGTGCGAGGCTTTTTACCCTCAAATGTTAAACGTGAAAAAGAAATATAGTGCCAATACGAATGTATATATATAATATGCAAATATTAACAGGTAGTTTTCTTTGAATAATTAATAAACTAATTAATATTAAATATTAAAAGCAGTTTAATTGTACCTGATCATTGATTAGAAAAAAAATGTAAATCAATGAAGAAATCATTTACACTGCGCTTGAATTAAAAAATATGAAAATGAAACTAAGTACAAACTATTGGACTTAAAAATGCAAAAGTTTGTACGTGTGTTTGTTACATGTATGTTTGTTACTCCTTCATGCAGAAACGGCTGGACCGATTCGTATGAAATTCATCACACAGATAGACTATGAGCTGGAGTAATACATAGGCTACTGATAGGCACTTAGGGTAAGTCACTAGTGATTACACAATATTAATTTCTGAACTAAATTACACCAAAGTTAAAGTTTGAGAAGCTTTAATAAGTATTTATAAAGGCTCTAAAAGCACTTTACACCAAAGGTCACCACTATAATGTAAGGACGCGCTCGAGCGAAGCGAAAGTGAGTCGCTAGTAACAAGATACAAAGACAAGTTAAATATATTAGAAAAAAAGTACTTATTGATAAACTTTTTTTTTTTTAACTTTGGGGTCACCAGAGTTCGCAGTAAGGGTTAGGGTGTGCTGCGAGGTGTTTCAAGAAATGGAAGTATTTTTAAAACTAACGGTCAAATTTCGACTGTAATATTTTTTTTTATTTATAATACTAAAGCTCGTCCATAAACAAAGAAAATCGTTTGTAAAACAGAGAAGGAAAATGTACTGAACTGTTTTGTCTTTCGCTATCGATACATATAATTAAATTGTAACTAAGCCAAATTTGTAAATTAAATATTTTTTGGAAAATCTTATTGAAATAAACATTATTATCGATACAGAGGCCGAATCTATAGTTTTTAGAATTTTTGTCTGTCTGTTACCGCATCACGGAAAAACCACTGGAGGGATTTCGATGAAATTTGGTATGATAATAGCTAGTTATCCGGGTCAACATATAGGAAACGTTTTACCGCGGGAAAATATCTCATCTCTGAAAAATCGATACCAAACGTTGAAAAGTAAGCAGGGACAAACCCGAGCGAGGGAGGGTAAGTCTCTAGTATTTTATATTTTTGTTCCCGACGCAACGTTTCGTATGCTTTACAGCAAAAATTGTCACGGGAGAGACTCGCACGAATTCGATCAGAGTTTTCCTTACAACTGGATCTAAAAAGTATTACCTACTTCTATATTATATTTTACTAGTGACTCACCCTCTATCCGCTTCGGGTTCGTCCCCAGACAAAAACAAATCTATCCCACGGGAACCGTACATTTTTCCGGGATGATATATAGCCGGGATGATATATGCCTTCCTCCATAAACGGGCTATCTAATGCAAAGAGAATTTTTCAAAACGGATTAGTAGTTTTTGAGGTTTGCACGTTTAAACAAACAAATGAAATCCATTCTAATTACATCATAAACTGCAAACATATGTTTGTTGTTGTTTCTTGTTTGAACATACAAATCTACGAAACTATTTTATAGATTTAAAAAAAAATACAGGCTATTTATTGACCAAAGTATTCTATCTAACATCTCGACTTTTAGCCGCTCTAAATATATAATTATATACAAATAAACTATGCGAACGAAGCCGTGGGCAAAAACTTGTTCATGAACAAACACCCTTTCACTTTATTCCTCATTATTTAATTAATACGTACATATATAAAACATCTTCCCTGTTGTAAAACAACATACATACGTAAAGACGATCGATATCTATGTATGTACAAGACGCGTAACGAGAGGGCTGTCCTCAAGAGAATACCCTATAGGAAGTCTAAATCTGTATCTATCTAATCTTTAATATATAAAATTTTCGTGTCACAGTGTTTGTAACAAAACTCCTCCGAACGGCTTGAAAGTCTAAATCTGTATCTATCTAATCTTTAATATATAAAATTTTCGTGTCACAGTGTTTGTAACAAAACTCCTCCGAACGGCTTGACCAATTCTTATGAAAATTTTGTGTGTATATTCAGTAGGTCTGAGATTAGGACATAAATTATTTTTCATACGCCTAAGTGATAAGGGTGGTCCACCCTAGGGACGAACCCGAGCGGAGCGAGGGTGAGTCGTTAGTACATAATATAATAAAATTCTGAGTCGAATCTGTATAATAAATATATTTTGGAAAATCTTATTGAAATAATCATTATTATCGATACAGAGGCCGAATCTATAGTTTTTAGAATTTTTGTTAGTCTGTCTGTCTGGGAACGCATGATGGAAAAACCACTGGACAGATTTTGATGAGATTTGGTATAATGATAGCTGGTTATCCGGGTCAATATATAGGATACTTTTTATTGCGGAAAATATCTAATCTCTGAGAAATCTATACTAAAGGTTAAAACGTAACTAGGGACGAAACATCGCTCCGCTCGAGTTTCTCCCTAGTACCTACTAACATATTAGGAATATTATATAAGGAAACTTAGCGCTTACAAGATAACTAAAACATGAGATTATGCTAACATATGCATAAGTCTTTTTATAAATACAATAGAATGTGTATGTATGTTTGTTGCTCCTTCACACCGAAACTGCTGAACGAAATTGGATGAAATTTAGTACACACAGTACACAAATAGACTAAGATCTGGATTAACGTATAGGCTAAAGTTAGTTATAAAACTTGCCAGAGGGTGGCGCTGTCCGAATACAATATCTATATCAGATAAATAAAATTGAAGTGTCTGTTTACAAACAGTGTTTACAATGTCAAAATAACAAATTTATACTTAATCAATATAAAATAAAAAATATACAGTACTTATAATAAAAACACAATTTCTAAAATTTTTGCCTGTCTGTTTTAATCTCTGAAACGGCTGGACCGATTTTGACAGGACTTTCACTGGCAGATAGCTGATGTTATAAAGAGTAAGTTAGGCTACTTTTATTTTAGAAAAAGAATTAAGGCATGAAAAAATTAAAACCCATGAAATTATGAAAAAAATCCACGTATCCTAGAGATCTATTTGAGCGAAGTAGCTAGTAGGCTATAAAATGCAAAAATATATTTTTAATTAGACTGATGGTTTTAGAAATCTGTGAATACAAAAGAACAAAAAACAAACTTTTTAGCTTTATAATATTCTAATGCCTTTCACATTTAGAATATTACAGATGTTCTTAGAAAAGATGTCTTTTTTATAGCTTAGTACAAAATTATTATCATATAGTGACTTATCCTTGCTTTGCTCGGGTGCATCCCTAGTTACAAAGAGGTGCTACAGTTTAATAGATTATTTTAAGAGGAATTATTCTGTAATACATTGCTTTCATATAACTCTATTAGTTTATGCGAAGCATGCCAACAAAGCTGTCGGCATGAGTTTTTCTAACAACTTCAACAGTCATTGTTATATTTCAGCCAATTTAGGTAAAACCTTAATGAATTATGCACATAAACCTCCCTCATGACTCACTCTGTACATTGGTGAAAACTTTATGAAAATCCATTCAGTAGTTTTTGAGTTTATCGGATTCAGACAGATAGACACAGTTAGGGAGCTTTATTTTATAATATGTAGTGATCGGCAGCTTATTGTCACAGTATACTAATAAATTAAAAAGGTAGACTTTAGGAATCTTCAAGCTATCTTAATGACACTCTAAGAGAATCTTTCTATATGTGAAAACCTTATGATAATTTTACAGCAGTTTTTAAGATTAGCAAATTCTGGCTATTCTATAAAACATAAAGCATGATGTGGTCCTTAATTTATAATACAGTTATTTCCTAATAAATCAATGTTATTAATGAAAACATTAAGACTATTGAGTAACTATTATGGCATTAGAAAACATAGTTTTTAGTTTACATACATCTAACAAAATAATTTTCTAATAAATATAATCAATTCTGTGATTTTAATATGTATTTTCATATTAAATATGGGCTTATAAACAAATATCTTTGAAAATACTTATTTTTTTGGTGAAAAGCATCACTATATTTTAAAAATGCGATGATAAACAAAGTAAAATCAAAACAATGCATTTTTAGAGTGACCATATTAGAAGTTTTTTCGCACTCAGTAGTTTAGATTTACTTCACACAAACGAATTTACGTTTAAAATTACTAAATTAGTAATTTTACATTACTTACATTAAAATAATTTATAATCAATTGAATGAATCGTTATAAATATGGTATGTAGTTTATGGGCATGTATGTGGAGACTAATCGACAAAAATGGATGTAATATATATTTTCAATAAAACTTTTTAACGATTATAATAAATCATTTTTAGCTTACTTTTAAAGCGTCGGCAATATGCAGCAAACTTACAATGCACTGGAACACGTCATAACTTCATAAAATACGCATTCAACAATAGAAATTATTCTTTTATAGATAATATGGCATTACGCCTCGAGCGATATAACATCAACATGGCGTACGCGAAAACTTACAAATACGATTAAAATATTATTAAAATAAAAATGTTAAAGTTAAAACTATTATTTGTTGAAACTTTAAAATTAAAATAACTATAATATTTAATAAAATTCACGGCAATTTAGCCCACGAAAAATTGTTTGACAATTGACATTACGAAATGGCACAGATATAAAATATAACATTTTTATGACCTTCATGTTACCACAGCTTATAAAAAATGCTTTCGGTTTTAATTTATACAAAAAAATATAGCATATTTTGTGTTCGTGTTTGAAAATATCTACCTACCCATTTTTAATAAACAAACTAACAAAAATAATTAATTCTAACTCTTAAGTGCGCATGTAACAAATATACTGATAATATAAAGCGATTCTTCACCAAATTTATATATTTTTGAATATAACATAATATAGGATAAATTAAAAAAACATTGAAATCGTGTTCATTTTTTTATTAATAATAACATTACATTCATATGAAATACATATAACAATAATTAACACAACAATGAATTACAATCCTTCAATACAAACTCACGTGTGTACACGCTTAAAATAGTCGCAAGATATCCCTGTTTTTGAAATAACTTTCACAGTTTTATAGTGAAAATGCGTGAAATTGTGCATCTGCAGGCGGGACAGTGTGGAAATCAAATAGGATCTAAGGTATGCAATAAAAAATATAATATTTTTCGTCCATACGCAAATAGAAATGGCAAATCTATTTATAATGTTCTGCTCTAAATGTCTTGATGAGATCACGGTCCATTGGTTCTTGAAGATGTAATACATACATTTCATTTAAAATATGCATTACTTTTATTTTGGAGACATAATTGTACTTTTAAACATTATATTATTATTTCAACGAATACCTATTTTGGTAAATTACACTTAATTGAAGGTATTGTTTGTATGTTTCTTGATATTAAGTAATAGGTTTAATATAAGAAATTGTATAAAGAAAAAAAACAAGATGTATAAATTATTAATTATAATTAATGATTACTAACAAAAGTCTGGATTTATGCTAAACATTGTTATTGTTTAAATTTTTTATTCTATTAAATTATTTTGATTGTTACGTATTATTTTTACGGATACAAAAATAAATACATCACTGTAAACAATATTTTTAGCAAGATACATTTAAGACAATAGTAGACCAGTGGTAACGCGCTTGTTTGGAAATAAAGTGAAGCGGGTTCAGATTTCGGGTCTCGTTCCTCTGATTTTCATGTGCGAGTCATTTTTTATTCTTTCAACATGATTACCACTTGTTTTACGGTGAAGGGAAACATCGTGAAGAAATCTGTATGTTTGACAAAACCTAGTAGGCTTTCAAATCAAAAGATATGTGAAGTGCGCCAAGCACTTGGCTAGATTGTTGGACAACGGATGATGCCCCTCGTATCGAAGGTCCATGGCTTTGCAGTGGGACGTTAAAAAGGCTGAACCTACATTTAAGCAACGTAAGATGTAGGGTCAGACAGTGACTGAGTGCCTACTATAGCGGAGGTCGCCGGTTCAATTTTATCAATATATTTTACGTTATAAACTCTTTAGGCAGAGATTCGGTTTCAACTAAAGTTTGAGGTGGAGCTAATTTTTTGGACTTGTCGCAGTTTCATTTTGATTTTTGTTCCGTCAAAATATGGTCAACGGAAGAGATTAAAGTTTTTGACGTCTAAAACTAATCGTCAAAGTCAAAACTTCGGTAATCAAAAATCAAAATAAAAAGCAAAAATGTCCGAAAAGACAGTTTTATTTAAAAAGTCGAGTAAAACTTCGAGTTATTACAAGCAGTGATTTAAAAAAAATATAATAAAGTATTCGCGCAGTGAACATAAATATTTCTTTAGTTGGCCAAAAATATATTTCTCAATTTTTTTTGTCCCAAGTGAATTATTATTTATTTAATGGCTTTAAGAGTGTTGGAATGAAAAAAGTGACAAGCCTATTTAAAATCTACAACAACTATTCTGCCCCCAAATCCCAATCTTTCTTGTTCTACAGATGGCCATAAAGGTTTTATATATCTATACGTATAATTAAATTCTGAGTCCAGTCTGTACATTAAATATTTTTAGTACTAATATAGATAATTTAAATTATATACTAGCGACTCACCCTCGCTCCTCTCGGTTTTATCCCTAGTTACGTTTTAAGGTTTAGTAAAGATTTCTCAGATCTGAGATATTTTCCCACAGTAAAAAGTATCCTATATGTTGACCCGGATATCCAGCTATTATCATATCAAATTTCATTATAATCTGTCCAGTGGTTTTCTCGTGATGCGACCCCAGACGGACAGACTGACACAAAAATTCTAAAACTATAGATTCGGCATCTCTATCGATAATAATGACTATTTCAATAAGATTTTCTAAAAAATATTGAATATACAGATTCGACTCGGTTAGGATTTTATTATAATTAGATAGATGAATGTCATATGGCATAACATTACATCACGCGAATTTGGCTAGTCTCAAAGAGATTGTCAGAGACCGGAATCTGCTAGGAGGACATTATTTTTATTTTATGTTGTAGTTAAAGTAAAACTAAAACTGGGTTTTTTTCAGTTTTGGGAGATAATATCAGATGAGCACGGCATCGACCCCACCGGGCGCTACATCGGCGACAGTGACCTGCAGCTCGAGAGGATCCAGGTCTACTATAATGAAGCTGCTGACGGTATGAAGTAATCTTACTTCTACGCCTTTTAATACTTTCTTAGATTTACGCGAACATTTGACATCACTACATATTATAAAATAAAGTCCCCGCCGCGTCTGTCTGTCTGAACGCGATAAACTCAAATACTAATCAAACGGATTTTCATACGGTTTTCACCAATGGACGG